GACACCCTGCATCTCAGTGACAAAGTGTTTTCAGACTATTGTTGACTATTGAAAGATGTGATTTTTTATCTAAACTTGACTCCGTGTATCTCGAAAATGAATCAAGTTAGGATATATGCTATATGATGAATTCTTAGCTGATAAATATTTCATTAAAATCTGTGTAATGAAGTCTGAAACATCTTGTGTACAACCTTCTGCACAAATAAGTTGATTTACGTAGCGACAAGACAATCGTGAAAGATATTTTATTTTAACTTAGAGATATGATTTTTTCCATTTCGAGAAACGGCAGAACAAATACGAAACCGAGTAAATTCCTTTCTCAAAAGCCTAAGCTATCCCATATATCCCGCTTAAAAAGAACCTTAAACTACTCTTTGTCTCGAAAGTCGCGCTAGAACTCGAAATATTTGTCCTTAAAAATCCGTCCACGTACAACCTTCAGAGTATTTTATTTTATTATTGCCCCCCCGATTTTGTATTCGAATAATAAATTTCCTTACCGATTCAATTTTATTTTTCCCCCGGCGGATACGATAGAGCTTATAACTTTACCCGACTACTGAATCTGCTTTTCGTTAAACCATGTACCTCGAAAGTTTAATTTATTGAAATACGATCGAACTTTGATTTAACCTGGGGGCCGTTTGCTCTATTGTTTCCGGATTTGTGCGGCGACTCTAAAAGGTTTGAAAATGTCGCGCTCAATTCATCGGCTTGTTCGTTTTAGGAAATCGAATAGGTTAAGGGGATTAAATTGAAGTGGTTGACGAAGCTTTAGCCATTTAACGCTAACTTCGTTTAACAGTGGCCCAAAAGCCCGTCCCACACAAGACGGCACTGGGCGAAATCTCAATAAATTTGAATTAGCCCTTGACTTTATCTATAAAATAAATTAAATCACTACAATAATAAAGTGTCGACAGTATAATGAACAGTTTAATAGGTATCTTCCATCATCAATTACAATACTACTACTAATACAGTTTCAGTCAAGCTCTGAAGAAGCCAACAAGATGATTGGCGAAACGTCAGCAATTTCGACTAAGCCAATACCGAAGCAGGAGTACCAATGATTTGGCATTTAAATTGCTTGAAAAAAATCTTGGAACAAGCATTGGCTGCGTTTCCCTTTAGTTAAAAAAAATAAGCTTACATTTCTAGTTCACTGGCTTAATGAAAGAGTATCAAAATTAAATAAAAAATACAAAAAAGGGGAGTATATAAACTATCGACGTTCATCCAAAATGAAGAGCAAACAGACGATCTCAACATATTTTTTATTACAATGGCTCACGAAATATTACATACCTTAGATGAAACTCCTGCTAGGCCATCAGAGTTCATTTAACCTAAATGCTCATTAAAATTTTTCATGGTTTGTCCTTGAATAATTTAAAATCTCTACACTTTTATTTTTTTAATAACAAGATCCTTAAAGAGTGCTGCAATGCAATTGTTTTACCATTGACTAAGTGTTTTCTTACTGGAGTATGTCTCAAGATTTTTAAAGTATCTTAAGTTCCACCACTATTGCGAATAGAGCCTGACAAAGCTGGGGGCTTTAAGAGAGGACAGCACTTCAACACTGTGACATCTCTGAGGACTTCGAATGTGTCGGTCATCCATTACGGTTCCATTATGATTTTTTGTATGCATCAATAATGTTTTTGCAAACGGCTCTACATTTAAAACATCAAACCCAAATATAGATACTCTTAAGTACAATAACATTCCAATGAGTGGTTTACAACCAATCATCTAAAATTAAATGAGGATAAGTTTTATCTTCGTTAATGTTTTAAACAAATATCGTTTTCGGAGCATAAATCTGCGAGTGGGGTGCACTTCTGGATGAGAGGCTCGCTTGGAAGGTTGTTTTCTTAGTAAAGCACTTCTCTAGTGCCACATTTTTGCTACGACCACTAAAAAATTTATTTAAAAGATTGCTTAATCCCAGGTTCAATTTTGGCCTATGCTGACATACTGTAGAGAAACCCAACGGATTCCATTGACAACCGTTATTACATGTATCACACAGTTATAAAAATTCGTAACTCCAAAAATCTGTTACCACTCACCTAAAATAATCATAGATATCCCACTTGCTCTAAAAGCTACTCTTGATCTAAGCTTATATTCCAAATCATGTCATAAATTTGATATTTAAAAAAATAAAATCATTTTTGTTTAGAGCATTGTTTTTATTCATTAGATATTAGCTGATTCTTGATAGCACTATTTTATTGTGTTCAACATCTTCCATGTTTTCCATTTTTGGTTCAGTTTTTATTCCTATTACATCTAATAGTATACATTTTTTTATTTCGACGTGCTCTGAATATACACTTTTCGTTGTCGTTGTTATTTGTTATTAACCGATTTATATCTTATAAATAACATATTTATGAGTTAGGTAGTACGTGAGTTAATGCATTTTTCTTCTGTTTAAATTAAAAAATATTTTTTGTTGCATATGTACAAACTAACCCAAAATACCATGCTTTTGTAAGCATTTGATACTGCTGAATTTCCTAATAAATTTTGTGAATGTGCTATTGCGGACAAAAAAGTGAATAGAATAGACGTTAGTTCATGCAGAACGTGAAAAACTAATGGTCCTCGAAAAAGTATAGTATGCAACACGTTGGGTAAACTTATTAAATCACTTCTTTATTAAACACTCGCTCCGGTCGTGCCAAATAAACTCGTAACTCAAATGCCGTTTACCAGACTTGTTGCTTACTATATCATTCTCTACTTCCTTCTGCAAATAGCTCATTAGCGTGTGGAAAGTGTCATTTTATCTATTTCATCTCCCACGGATTTAAGCCACTTCGGACATTTCAAGGATATTATCACACGGCTTGCATTTTCACGTTTGTCAATTCTGACGGTCATATCAGTGAATGTAATTGTGATGTTTTGTAAAAATGTACTCAAAAACTAACGTTCGTAAAAAAGTGTAGTATGCAACAGGTTTAGTAAACGTTTTAAGTCACTCGTTAAGAAAACACTCGCTTCACTGTGCTCTGCTCGTGCCAAATAATTGCCACAATTGTTGCATAATAAACTATAAAATACATAATTTCGAGCCATACCCTGGATACATTCGCGAAACATTTAATAAATAGGGTCGAGCAAACAGCTTTACATTGGTGGACGTTTTTAATATGAGGTTGTTGTCTTATTCACTCTCAAACGTCAGTCATTTTGTAAGTACTAATTATGCATAAAAGCGAAACTGACAAAAAGATCTACATGATCGATTCGATTGGTGGGTGTTCCGGAATCAAATTATTTATCTACGCAATTACTCATCCGCTATTTTCTTTGCTTATACGCCAGACGCTCGAGTATGCACATTCATGGCGAAAGAAATTCCGGAAATCTTCTTGGAATAAATAGGGCGCAATATTTTCATTTTTACAGGCACTTTATCTTTATTCCGTCTGTGACACATGCGAGATATACAAGAGCATTGCGAATATATAGGGTTCGCGATCACAACACACGTTCAAGATTTACTACATATTGAATTGTAACGTCCTTTGAATATGGCAAGGGTCGGTTAGACTTGAGGACACAAAATTTGAGTATAATTAGTACTCATTCTAACTAGATTTCGAACTTCCATTCCAATTGTGTACAAAGCAAAGCTTGAATTACCGGTACTAGAACTGAAAAACAGAAAGCTGAACAGCTACTTAAATATGGTGGCAACGAATTAGTAAATGAAATATATCATATGATACATTTAGGAAAGGAATGGAACTAAAGCAGAAACAAAGAAACAAAAATCATTGCATAGAATATCCTTGAAGAACCATAAGGATTTAGACAAAATATATGCATTCCAAGATATAATGACACGATGTCTTCAATCTACTAAAGGATCGATATATACCAAATAAATATTTATATAATAGTAAACAATAAATTCTTCACGAATATCCTGTGTCAAAAGAGATTAAACTCTACCCTTTACGTACGTAGACGCAGTCATTAGAGTTGTAAAGATTTGAAGAAGTTGTAACATCGGACGATGAAGACAATCTACACATATTTAAAGCAGTCTAAAAATACGACATATGTAACAATAAACAAAATTCCTGGCAATATCTAAAGAATCCAGTACCTGTAAATTGGCGATTTATTTGAAACGCGTAAAAACAATATTGCGTAGGAACCCTAAACAGTAGTAAAATTCCTATCAGCAGCGGCTAAGATATAATATGGAGAAATATATTTGTTGAATGCGAATCGCGAATATATAAAATGTGCGTTGTGACATAAGCATTAGAGACTGGTCGAGTCAGCTGGGACTAAACTCTTTGCAATCATCGAGATAAAAATATATATTAAAATATATTCAGTTACATACCACTAGAACTTAACTACTTAGATCGCCTGAAAAAACAAAACATAGTCTTAAGGTAAGCGGTGGAATACGATGTTTGGTTTGGTTGAAAATTAAGATGCTTTCACGTATTGGTTGGTTTCCTCTGATACAACTGATCTAAACGCTGAACTGACTTTCAAAAAAACATCAATTAATAATATTAATAATCAGTTAGTTAATCAAAATTTTATGTTACAGTCGTGAGACGTTGAAACTAAAAATTCAGACCAATGCGCTACAGGTCTGAATTTTTAGTTTTTCACCAATAAAATCTTTAGAGAGAAACTTTTTGCCTGCTCCAATGGAATCTATAAGCCAAAGTTACAGGCAAATCCACGCTAAACAATAAATTTAAACTTGCCTGACGTATCGGATTATGAGAATAAGTTTTATTCAAGTTTAAGTTGAATAAGTTTTCTTATTCTCGACTTCCGTCTATAACGAATTCCTAAGCCGGGTGCTTTGAAATTTAATAATAAATTCGAAAATCGAACTTTTCACGCACATTTATTCGATTCGGTGGATCAATAGATTTCAACATGTCGACTTGCCGTTTTTAAACGAATTGTAATTAATCTATTTGTTTTTGTTACAGTGGCTTCCCAAAATGGTAAGTGTTGGATAGTACCAAGTAAAACTACTGAGATTGCTAAAGCTCTTGTAAGAAATTAGACTGTGAGGAACTGTCTTTTTCCTCAAATTTTTACCTCAAATTACACAAATGTGATAATTGGTTACTTATCGATGATTCGACTTAATTCAAAAACTTTTCACGTAGTAGGTATATGCGAGGCTCAAAGCTAAATTTTTTTAAAAGTTCTTTCTTCAAAAATGTGAATCATATTTAATGACCTAACCTAAATTGGAGTTTCTTTGTTTAAAGTCATGTATCATGTTAAAGCAATGATTATGAAGCTGTTTCAAAATCATGCAATCAATAATTTTTTTTCATTTTTCAAAGAAACTTCCTCAGGCTACTGTAATACTATTTACAAAACTCCTGGATTGCTCCTGCGCCAATCATCTTGTTGGCTTCTTCAGAACTTAACTGAAACTGCTCGCTTTTTACTCTGTACCTGCTTATATATTATTTGAACGAGGCGGAGTTAAATGAGGATTATCAGATGACTGATTCCCAAATTGGTGATGGGTAAAGACCTAATTCGATGTAAAGATTATTAGGTTGCTTATAGATTTTTACAGACTCTCGGATTTTTAGTTTTATCGAATAAAATTTTATGTTCCGTGTCGTGATTTTGTGATTGCATCTGCTGATGAGTTTATTTGTCTTAGTCTCAAGTCTTCTTTTAGCGTAGTTGATATTTTTCGTCTGGTGTCTCCAATATATTCTTTAACGCATATGCATAGCATGCTGTCAACTCGAAGATGTTGAGAGATTTTTGACCAAGTGGTAAATCTGGTTTTGACTTTATATTTCTTTAGAATTTTTGATATGTGGTCAGTGATGTTTGGAATGTAAGGAATCACAACAGTGGCAAGTGTGTGATTGCTTCTAGGCTGTTGGAAGGTTTGGGGTGAAGTATATTTTGCAATGGATGCTTAATATCCTTAATGTGGAAATTATTAGAGACAAGAGCAGAGGTAAGGTGTTTTAATTCTGGGTTTATAACCGATGATTTTTGGGCGGGATGGAGATGTGAGAGTGGTGTCTAAAAATAATTTATAGCAAACAAAAAACTTACCCATGGACCTACTGTTTTGTGGAGAATGGAATTCTCGATATACGTCAGTTATACTGCTTTAATATATAAAAGACATCCAAAGAGGAAAAATTCTTGTTCTTAAGGCTAATCACACTTATCATACCCGGAACAGACAAAACAAAGACGTCTATCCCACAGTTAGAACAAAAACACACGGACAACGATTATATACGTATTTCTCACCTAGGTTACATAATATGCTACCAGCATATATAAGAGAACAAACCATCTTTACGAAATTTAAAAAAGATGTCAAAATATGGACGTTTCAGACAGGCAGACGACTTTTTTATGACCTCGTTAACTTAAAATATAGGTAAATAAGATTTGAATTATATTTAATCAAGCATAGTTTATTTTTACCTAAATCCTAAATTATGTATATTCACATGCCTAGTGAGTTACTGTCTTTCTCCTCGTTTTATTTTTATTTTTATTTTTGCTTACATGTATGAGTAGATATTATATTACTATAAACATAACAAGCAGATTCTTTGCCTCGTTGTTATTATTGTAATTATTATTGCTTTGGTTTAATATTGGTGTGTCACGCATAAGCATTTCGCAATGCTTCAGTGAAACAAAACATTAAATTGAATAAATGTTATTATCATTATTACTATTATTAAGGCATCGCTCTGTGTGTGTAGGTTTTCTATAAATACATTTTCTATTGATAAGAATATCTAGACTGGGAGGTTATTATTAGTTTTTAATTCAATGGTAAAACGTATGTTAGGGATTATAGAGTTTAAATGTCTAAGAAAATCTACTAGTGATTCTTGCCCATGTGGCCAAATAGCTGTTCCCGACGTTTATTCAAAAAATTTATTCGGTAAAACTAAAATTCTTTCATGTAATCAATTCTTCTACCAACGAAATATCCGAGAGTCATAGAATCAGCCGCCTGAGACAATTTTTATGCTCCTCCTTTAGCTCCGCCCCCGCAAACAATATATAAGCAGGTGCAGAGTAAAACGCGAGCCAGTTTCTCTGTTAAGCTCTGGAGAAGCCAACAGGATTATTGGCGAAACGTTATTAAGTTCGACTAAACAACAACCGATGCAGGAGGAATCCAGAAGATTTGTAAATAGTAAAATCTTTGGACTTTATTTACTTCAGCCTGAAGCGACTCATGTATTACTTAGAGGGCGGAAAATTTGACCCGATTTAATAATAGCCCGACCATTTATAAAAGACACCCGTTTCTTCGATCGGGAATAACGAACGCCGACTAAACCTTTCGAAATTGAAAATCTGGCACCGTATCGTAAAGTTTGGAAACACGCTGCCAAATAGTTTCGCATCAACCACAAACATATCGACGACAGATTTCTCCACTGCTCAGCTGGCAAACTCATTTGGAAGTTTGCGGCATGGAGACGTAACTGTTCCGACCATTTTACGATCCACAATAACGTGTAGCGAGTGGTCCTCGAGGAAAATACCGTCAAATCCATAAATGGAAACCTGAAAATATTAACTTCACGACACCAAATTATTCAAAACGGGAATATCCGACACGAGAACTTCGACTTATGACTGGGGCTTTAAATTGCATTAATACTGTTGCGAAATTATTTTGTATAATACCAAATATCTCAACATGTTACACTTATTGGAATCCAATATTTTTGAAACTATTGATTTTTAAGATGTCTATGGTTGTGTCAATAAAATGTTATAGCTTCGCATGGCAGCACTCAACGAACCCTACACTGGTGACGTCCATGGTGTCCGAGGAGCAGATTACGCGTGTTACAGAGAGTCGCGAAGAGCTGGACTCAAAGGCACTTTCAGGTAAGTCAACCTGTCAATTCCTATGAGATTCCATCAATCCTCAAGTCACCGGACTGGAGCATTTAACCAACGACGTTCAATGCGCACATCTGTGAGATTGTTTGTGTACGAAAACATTTGTGGAAATAATTGACACAAATGACCCATAATTTTGCATATTTACGCGTAATAGTGTAAAAATTGCTAGATGGTTTGTAACAGTTGGAAGAAATGTTTCATACGTTAATTGGTTATCGATCCTCTATGATCTTTATCCAGATTCCCTCATGGCGTCGCTTCTTTTTTATGGAAATTTCTTGGGTTTAAATACATCGACATCGAAATAACAAAATGGATAAAAGTGATTTTGGTCTTGATAACACTGGTTTTAATCTTGGCTCATTTAGTTATGGTGTTAAGTCATCCTCACCGTAAGTTTTCAATGAAGATATTAACTTCTATTATTTTCATTGTAATGCTGCTCATATTTATGTAGATATTGATAAAATAGACTTACTGAATAAACAAATAATTAAGCGGGAAATGGAAATGGTATTGTATAGGTAACTTTCAGGGGATAAACCATACAGACTTTATTACGGAATAGCTAAAGAATTCCAAAGAACTAAACCAAACATAAAAAGAAATATAATGTAAACTTTTCCCCCTAGCGCATTTATTTAAAATTTGACAAAAGAAAAGTTACCCGAAGAAGTATTTTTGCACACCTTTAGATTTTTTAATTTCTATAAAAATATAGCATCTATTGAAAAAGTTTCAATGGCCGTAGTAGACAAAACAACTCAATTCTGAAGAACTCCTACCAGTTTAGTATAACCTTTTTTTGTAAAATCGTTAATAAATGTGCTAGCAATTTGGTTTTTCTAAAATATTTCTTAGCCCACGTCTGATAATTAATTTTGGCAGGTTTAAGTCATTATCCACACAATTTAAAAAATATAGGAGTTTTCTAACCCATAAAATACCTAAAATAGCGAAAATTTGTAAAACACAAGATCAAATAGATTTGCATGTCTCAATGTATTTATGCAATAAAAATATTTATCAAATCTGATGTGTTTGTAAACAAATTAAAAAGTTGGTTTGGTAAAGAGGCTTTAAAGAAATCTTATACTTAAAACTGTTACTTTCTTCATATTGTGAAAATAAACTAAGCTCAATACTTGGTATAAAATATAATACTTAATTCCTTAGTTGTAGATATAGCTTTGTATATAAATTCTTTAAAATACTGGAGACCTACTATTCACAAGAACAAAATGAACGCTAATCTCAGGTGGATACAAAAACGCCAACAGACGAATAGTCAGTTTTATTATAATATTCGACTTGAAGGGAATGAATGAATGAATGTATAGTATGGTTAAGACGAAGCAAATCCTATATTATGGTATTAAATATTACTAGGATCTATTCAAAATTAAATAAAATTTTTACAAATCAATATTTTCTAAATGTAGCCGAAACCTGGAGAAATATCTAACATCCTCCATTTTTAAAACATCTTCACGCTCAACTAGAAATTTTACGAAGCCCAAACCTGTTTTGCATTCCTTGAGTCCTTAAATTACAACGTCAAATTGTCGATGAATTTAATCTGCATCGAATAAAATCGCTCCCGACAGTGGATTTTTACCTAAACAAGCGCCGACTTCCAAAAACTAGGAGACGGCATCCGCTTGCTAATCTTATTCGAAACTAAACGAGTTTTGGAACAAAGCAAGACCTCTCAAAGAAGCTGGAACGAATTATTTGCCAACCCTAATGCGATCGGTTTGAGTTTAAACAAACACTCCCGCTAATTGGCCGGTTTGAACTGTGACTGAATTTAAAATAAATAAACCGGGTGCATAAACATCTCTTTCAGTATTAACGCAATTTCGCTCTGCAGAGGTTAAAGCAAATCCGTTAATTAAAATTGATAATATTCCCATCCGGGGGTTTTGATAATCGATATTTTTCAATTGTCTGCGGTCGAGTAGTTTGGACATAAAAAAAATAATTTGGTAATCATTTTTAATAGGGTTTAACATATTCCTGGAAAATTATTGATCAGTACAATTTGTATTAGAAACCTTTGGACCTTATGGTAGAGTAGCGTTTAAAAACTTACAAACTTACCAATTTATTAGATTCATAGTTTTTTTATTAGATATTTCAAGGCTTTAATTTTGCTTGTGGACTACAGGAAAGTAAACGTACATATGGATTATTTATTATAATCGTTCAAATAGGAATTAGCATCTAGGAAAATGTAGTTAAGCTTCAAGCTCTAAGTAGAACCCTATTTGAACATTACACACCTTACATTACATTACATTACATTACATAACTAAGGCTCCACACCATAAGCACAGTCTCGAACACCTTGCAAAATTGAAGATGGCACTTTTATCCAAGTCTCCGGCGTACTCTTCTGCAACCATCGCTTGCTCACAATCACAAACGTGACTCCGCTCTTGACACCATGATAGAGTTCATTTTGATTCAAACTCTACGGACAGCCCTTTTTAAAAATTTAATGTCAAACATGATTCAAGCTATACGTACATACGCATTGGTCAAATGCCAAAAAAATGCTGCTAAAGAGAAGTCAAAAGTGAGAACGTTATTAATACTTATACAAACGAATACAACACATTAAGAAAAATTTTGAAATAATGAACTATTTAAGTAACAAACAAAAGAAAATTAGACAAAAGCTATTAAAGGTATTATTTTCTTAGACAGGTACAACTGCTGCCATTTTTAAAACAAAAACATCCCTCTTAGTATCGCACCGATTCTTACCTGGTTTACATTGGTATTTCCTAATGTCTTGTCCGTTAAACGAAGTTATTTGATTCGCGGCTTCTCGCACTGTTTACGTCTTAAGTTAATTCAATTTCTGTAGCATTTGTCAAATGGTAAATGGTAAATGTTGAGGCAAATAACAACTGTCTCAATCTGATCTGGGCATTTGTTAAATGATGGTTGCAGGGATAAGCAACATTCCGAGGCAAGTAGTTAATATTTAACTGCTTAGCTATTTGCTGCGGCACTTAGTTTGTCCACATTACTACGACAAATAATAAAAGCGATGATTTCTCCATGCTTTCTATAATTAACAGCAAATATAGTACGTACCCAAATCATTGCGGTTTAAATCTATAGTACACATTTTGTACTCTGACCGTTTTAGCCTAGCCATAAATGCAACAGAACTAAATATATAGAGAGCCATCCCTATAGAAAGTGATTCTGAAAGAGCCATTAAATTTTTATCTTGTCGTAAATGTGTATTAGTTAGTGTTTTACGGCACTCGAATGGTTATGGATGCGATACGCCGCGGAAAGTATGTAACAGAAACATACATTAAGGCTACCGGAATTCCGGTAATATAGCTGCTTTAAAATCGTTTAGAATTTACTATCGAGATCATAAACGTAAAGAGTTAAAATACCAAACTGCGCATTCATGCCGCATGAACGGTATCGACTTTGGAATTTAAAAGAACAAATGGAAGCTTATTTTGCAGATTTATAAATAATGCGGCACCAGGAAGAAGTTCAACGGCATAAAAACTTTATTTTTTGGCTGATCAGTGGATCTTGCTGGTAATGGACACTTTTATTTTTTATTTCCAAAACTAACGAAAAATATTGTTGGTAAAATAGGTAGAAAATAATGAAAACACTAAAAAAGCAGACAAAACTTACCAATTCTAGTAGTGCAAGCTATATGTTTGGTTAGTGAACTTAAAGATATAAAGAATTGAAAAATATAAATATTTAGCTAATAAATAAAAATAATGTTGAAGCAATCTTATTTTATTTTATCTAAATCATTAATTGAATTTTCGAACTCCAGGGTAGTCCAAACTCCTTAAAAATGAGTTGAAAATTCAGGGATGTCAAATCGGGTAATCTAGTCCCTTAAGTCCTTTGACATATTATTACAAATAAAATCTCTCTAAAATATCTTAAATTAGTTTGATGTCAAATGCTGACTAGACAGAATTACTTTTCATTAAAGAAAAATCCGATTTTTTAATAATATACATTGTTTTATCGAGGTCTACACCTTGTATATTATTGAAAAATCGGATTTTTCTTTAATGAAAAGTAATTCAATACCCAAGATCCTGTCTAGTCAGCATTTGACATGCAGCTCTGAAAATGTTGTAATTTGTTGGTTAGTTTTTGTCAAACTCTTGACTGGAACCTTCGGCACTGTACTAACACACAATAACGCGTTTTACCACAAATCTAAACTCAATTTTACATACTCGACGCGCGTTTCAGCAACCAGGTTGGCATCTTCAGGAGAAGATTGAAACTGTTAGTTTTAACTAACCAAAACTGGCAGTTTTAATCTTCTCCTGAAGATGCCAACTTGGTTGGCGAAACGCGCGTCGAGTACATAAAATTGAGTTTCGGTTTGTGGTAAAACACGTTATTGTGGGTTAGTTTTTGGACAAGCTGCAAGCCATAAATCAAGTTTCAATATCAATTTCAAAAGTATCATTCTCATATTCCTATTTCCCAAACTAAAGCTTGCCAAACCGTTCAAAAAATTGTTACAAAGCGCAGTCTTTAAAATAAGGATTCGTCTGGGAAAAGGTTTAAATCATTCAAGATATTTAAGAAAGTATTGAAATTACGTATTGATTTGCCATTTAAAATAAGGAAGTGGTACAATGTTTAAACTTTCTTTAAAATAAAGAGAATCTTCAACAAGCGTTTATTCAAAAATTGAGAAGTTTTTCCAACTTCAAACCGCTGCCGGGAAACATCCCAACATTAAAATAACTTGTTTCTTTTTTTTTCAAAGAAACTTCCACACGCTGCTGTTCGAAAATCTGAACTTTTAGTTCTTATTTATTTTGGTAAATGGATTTTCATCAAGTAAAAGCCACCTCAGTTCAATTTTTAAACTCCTGCCATCTCAAATGGAATTTTGTTTTTGACGGATCGAAGATGTTGAGTTTTAGGTTGCTCAAACTATGCAGGTAATTTTTATATATGGAACATGATATTTAGTTTTTTCAACGTTGTGCATTAAATTATTTATTTAAAACCAGCGTTAGATATTATTGGTTATTAAATAATTAGTTTGTTTATATTTACATTTTCTTAAACCTTTCTTGTTGAAATAAACAAATGAATGCTTCGGATGAAACAGATACGTCAAGTTTAAAAATAACACCGTTGAACGACAGAAGCGATTCCATTAATTTTCTCCAGTTTCTGCGAAAAAAGGATATTGCGACGTATTGACACGTGACCCCGCTGCAGGAAGTCGTTACCTTGCAGGCTTCATTTGTCGTCCACGTTCCGACTCTAGGAAATTTGAAATAAAGAGCGAATTCCTCCTCTATATAAACGCGTCGAAATCGCATTTTTAATTTCAAAGCTGCCTCCTGCGAGTTTCGATTTAGCACGTAACTACTGAACGGGAAGTGTTTTAAAATGCTCTAATTACTGGCTGAATTTTAAATGGTAGTGCCGTAATGGAAGCGTATTTAAATGTGCCGAAAAATAGAGTAAAGGATTGCGTTATGCCCGTCCCACTAAGAAAGAAATAAATTTTGTAAAAAAAAAGCTTTTTTTGTTTCCATCAGGCAAGTTCAAAATTTTGTTGTATAAATGCAAGAAAATTAACCTTTGGCAATTAAATGACATACTTTAATTAGTTTTTCATTTCCTTAAACATCAAACTACGTTTGCTAGCAAATCGATTTGAAATAGATCTTTAGTTAGAAACGTTAATTGTCAGTTTCGCTTTTTTACTGCTCGAAATATTTTTTTCCCAATTGTTTTACTGACTATTACCAGTCTTTTTCTTATATTTAGGTATTACTTTCTGTCCAAATATTTCTATTATGGTTCTTTTCCATCTATTTTAAAACAATTTTGAATTATTTCTTGGAAAAAGAACCTGCTTCTGCAATTTTATGCAATTTTTAGTAAGGGTTTATCTTATTTTTTGACTAAGCACACTAGCGGGCATGTATTCCCTTGATACCCGTTTTCATGTAAAAATAGTTTTTCAATCTCGAATCGATCTGGATCGAATCCAAAAATATTTCGTGATGGGATCTAGATTGACATCGTGTCAAATAATCCAAAAACGGAAGCTTTCTTGGACGGCATTGCAAAAAATATCCAATTATTAATTTTTAGAAACTTCCACAGGCTACTGTGATAATTTTTACAAAACTTCTGGATTCCTCGTGCGTCTTCTTATATATTCTTATCAATAGGAAATCAGACCTAACATTGGGTCACTGTGTTTACAGAAAACCTACGCACACAGACCGAGGCCATCCGGTCCAAAAATCGTCGGTTATCAACTCTCTTGTTTACAGAGCCATAGAACTATCACAGCCCTAGTCACTGAACCCAGAATTAAAACATCTAACCTGTGCTCTTCTCTCTAATCATTTCCGCATTAAAGATAATAAGCCTTCTATCACAAAATACACTTCACCACAACCTTCCAATAGCAATGAGGCCGAAAGCAATCCTACACCTCCTTACATTCAAAACATCACTGACGACATATCAAAAGTCCTAAAGAAATATAAGGTCAAAACCAGGTTTACCACTTGTCCAAAAATATATCATCATCTTGAGATGCCAAGAGTTTACCGCATTCCATGCATATGCGACAAATAATACATTGGAGTGACCGGACGATAAATATCAACTAGACTCAAAAAACATGAAATAGCCATAAGACAAAGACAAATAAACTCATCAGCACTTGCCGAACACAATCATGAAACCGGACAAATTTTATTTGATAAAACTAAAACTCTTGCAATTAATCAATTCTTCTACCAAACGAAAAATCCGAGAGTCTGTAGAAATCTATAAACCACCTAACAATCTTAACTGCGACTCAGCTCTTTACCTGGCACCAATATGGGAATCAGTCAGTCATATAGCTCCGTCCCCCTTAAACAATATATAAGCAGGTACAGAGTAAAATGCGAGCCAGTTTCAGTGAAGCTCTGAAAAAGCCAACAGGATGATTGGCGAAACGTCAGCAAGTTCGACTCAGCAAAAACCGACGCAGGAGGAATCCACAAATTATTTATTACTTATAATTTCCCAAAAATATTAGAACAAATTTTATTGTTATCTTGGGGTCAGAATGTGGTGTGTTCGCAGGCGAAATAAGTACATAATAAAATATATTAATTAGGACCAGTATGTACCAAATAATTACCTACTTTAATTGCTTTTAGACTCCTGTTAGTTGCGAAATGGGAAAATACTTAATTTCTTTTTATGTAAAGGTTCTATCAGTAAGGCTTAAATAATGCATTTTATCTGACATTGTGATTGTTGTGACGAAAAATTTAACGTCCTGCAGTAAGATAATTTCATTAATGACAACAATCACAAGCATGTCCGTTTAAAGATGAAAAATATAATCAAGCTCCCGCATTCCGCAATCGGAGACATGAGTTTTGAACTCAGAAACTGATCTTTCAATGTAAAGGCGAAACGCTGGGTTAAAATTGAAATCAAATTTCTGTAGTGGTTTTAAGAAAGTTCGTCGACGACTGGCCAAAATGAATCTGAAACGCTACACGACTGTGACGTTCATCTAGTTTTAAATAATTTCATTACACCCGTAGCAAATTGAACACCGAGAGCTAACATTTGCCCCCATTTACGTCGAATCCCCCCGATTAATTAGGCCCCTTGCAGAGCTTTCCTGTCTTCGAGGGTACAGAACGTTGACTCCATCGTAAGGCAGGCAGACCGCAGGTTGCCGGTTTCAAACCTGAGGGGCGAGGTGCTGTTCAATTCATGGTCAGAAATGTTCAACGGGGACGGAGCGCCGTTCCCTCATCCTCCGAGAATATACTCCTTTAACGGTAAGTCTCACTCGAAAATGTTATTTACTACAAGGGTATAATTAGTCTACATTTGTAGGTCGACTGTAGAAGCGATTATTATAATTTTATTATAAGGATATCCGAAAACATAAATTAATTTAAAAAAAAAACATAAGAAGACCATCTTACCAAAAATCTGAAATATATATATTTTTTAAATTAACATTATATCGGAAGCATGTAAAATGAAAAATTAAGTATGCATGAAAATATCAAAACATCTTCCACATCCTTCAATTTTCTCTCGTAGCTCGGAAACTACAGCCGGTAAATCAGATTTTTTCATTTTTCGAATCTCAAAAAACTAGGGAGTAATGTGTAAACGACATCCTTGTCTGTACAATAATAACGGATTGTTCTATGAGGATACATCGAAAAACTAACCAAAATGAAAGTAAAGTGTTTTTAGGTTAAGTGTCAAAATGTGCAACGTTGGAAGTACGTAGTCGTTCTCAAAGAGCTAACACATTTTTAGTTCTAAATGTTCATTTTTAGAACAAAAATTCGTACACACTTTACGGATTTACAAATAACATTGAAATAGTTAAGTAAAGATAGTACCTCGATGACTTCGCATTAAAAGCCGCTTGTTATATTGTAAAAGTGCCCTTGCCTCTGCATCGGCTAATCCAAATAAAACTTTATTTTGCCTTCTGTGTTAATAAATGTTTTTAAAAACGCTCTCCCAAAGTCGGAACATTTAAGTAAATTTACAGTTTTAGGGAAAAATATAAAAAACAAATGTCAAAATTTTTGTTAGAAATATTAGTTCATTTCGAGATATTGAATCATCTTTACTCGCCAGATATAGGAAAAATAAGTAAACCATTTGTACATCGTGTTCGTGAAAGACTTGGCTGCGGTAAATCAATTGCTCTAAAATGAGTAACATAAAAAGCAAAAAATGTTTCGTGGAATTAAGGTAGCTTTACCTGATATTTGTTTGAGTTGAATTTTTTGTCAAAGAAAACTTCCATCTGATATAAACCGTTTCATATTTGCAAACGAGCAAAAAGTTTCTGAACTGTTTTCAAACATACATGTAAATACATATTTAAGGAATTTCTTTATGTAAGCCGCTATGTTTCTGCTGAAATATTTTTTCATTTTAAAATTATGTTAATAATAATTTGACATATTTTGAATAGGTTTAGTTTAGTTTAAATAGTTTTAAACCTATGCGATCCAAATATAGCAGACCGGCGGTTTGTGAAATCTTATGTACGCCACGAGTCAAAAAAGGGAGTTTTCCAAATTGCCGCCTTGACGAATTAAGAAGCAAAACTTCAGCTGAAAAATTCATATCGCACCTTCACTCCAATTTTATTAGAATATATTATACGCCACGTTTTATGCAAAAATGCAAGGAATTTGTCGTGGGATTTTGCAGTAGGAATGTTAACGCGACCAAAGTACAATTTTATTTTGTGCCATGTAGTTACAATTGCCATACAGGTATTTTTTATTGGGGGCCTGAATATAGATACGGATCCAACTGCCGGCGCTGTTGCGATAAACAAAACGAAACATTTATGTAGATAACTCGATTAAAATGCCCAGACTAAAATTTTTAAATACTTGTTGGTTTAGGCCTTAACAGGAAAGCAGCGGTAAAGCTTTTTCAGAAAAAAACATAATCTTGGGAACGAAAATTAAAAACACACGCTAGAAATATAGCGGTTCAAATTTCATGATTATTTTACCCTTCACAGGTTCGCATTATAGAATGAGATTAGTGTAAATATTTTGTTTCCACGCCCTCCGGCCTCCGAAGGAAATCTTAAGATGTCAAAATCATAAGTTAGCCAAAGAATTATGATTTAACTTCCCACATGACCTACAGCCAACAGCACAGACCACAGAATTATCATCTATTATATAGGAATCTGTAATTTTGATATCTTAAGATCTCACCCCGAGAATAGAAGGCGTAGATTAAAAATATACTACTAATAATATTGTTAAAATTCTACTCTATAATTGTCTGTAAATTATTTTTTAGAAGTCTTTAAACCTACTAAAAAAAATTCAAAATAATGATGATGACGCACTATGTTTGATTCTAGGAAAAAACGTCTTAACAGACATGTCGTGGCCCGTTAAAGCGGCATGGCATGGAGCGTTACCGGATGGCACTCGCGCCCTGGACACATCCTGTGACGGATGGCACACTGCGTCGAAGGATAAGTTTGGCCTCGCTGGCAGTCTCAAGGGGCCAAGGCTGCTGGAACAAGCTTCACATTCCTGCGAAAACAGACTAGTCCTGTTGTGCATCGAAGCTACGAGCGAAATATTCGTACAGAGGCGGAAAAGGGATGCAATAGATGGGTGAGTTACAGCCCAACAATACTGATTGATCAATCGGGTCAATTTTAAAAATAAAAATGTTTAAGTACGAATTGTTCAAAACACTTCTTTTGTCTGGAGCTTTCATCTGTCATCCACATCAAACGACACCGATTAATTTTGACGATTAAAAAGCCCTCATTTTTGTTCTGCTTAATGTCCTTTCTACACAACGATACAGCTTTCCCGAGGGATACGTGTTGCGGTAAACAAAATTCAAGCGAAGAAGGTTAATCACTCGGCCCTTGCTTGCATTATTCGCAAGCTCTCCCTCAAAGAAAGCTTTATTCTAGACGTCGTTCATAAACAGTTCGGTTGAACAAATGGAACGGAATTACTAATAAGCTGCTTCTCTGTAAATCTGAAAATCCCTCTCTTTCTCTCTCTTACTCTATCTCCCTCCTTCTTAAAAGTTTTCCAGAAACAAGTTTGTAATTGAGTTAAAAGCCAGCCACTGGACGTTTAATAGATATTTTTCGCAAGAACTTTTGATACGCTCATTTCTTTATACAGGCAAGTTTTTTATACCGACAAGACGATTAAAATGCTTACTTACATGAAAGCAATTATATACAAAGAGTCTCATTTTAAATGTCAAACCTTAACCAATCCCAAATAGAGCAACAACAAACTAAAGGCTTTTGTAATAGACATAGAAATAGAACAGCGCGTGAAAACAGATCAAAGGCAAAAAACGTCACTTCATTTTGTGGAAGTTAATTTTTTTTCTACTACCTACTCTAAAGTACCCAATTATGCACTCATTAAGCATGGGAAAAGGTTCATTTTAAAATGTCAGTTTCATTATTCACTTTCATGAACAACTTCGGGCGTTTCCGGTACATGAGTCACGGGTTTGAGACAATAAAATGTTTTCAGTAGAGTAGTAGAGTATAGTAGACAATTGTTCATTAACACCAATATTGTAGTCTATTGCTATTAATGTGTTTATCTGCTCGTAAGCATCTTTGAGTCAATAAATCAAACCGGTTCAGGACAGTAGTTAAGTTTGTTTAAAATAAAGGTCATGCTAACTAAGGAGCTCATGCAATGCATGTTGCTGACCGTTGGTACTTTTTTAGCTACAGTGCTGTGATAATCAGCATTATCATAAATTGTTACGCTGCCTAGTGGGATATTGAAAGAAGAGAATTTCTTACCAAATTTTTAAAAAAATTAGTCATGTCTTCGTGGTAGTCTAATGAGCAGCCTTTAATGCGTTTGTTAAAATTACCAAATCCTTTGCCAACCAAACTTCCCTCAAGCCAAAGTGTAAAATGGATATTATTTTTCCTCTAGATGCAGGTACATTCAAAATGCAGTTCGATGTCTCAATAATATATATTTCTTTTATTTTCTTTTCTAGGCGAAACTGATGAATTTAAGTTAAATGTTTTGGTCTGTTTTCCAAAACTTGTTGGGTCTCTTTAATGCACTACGCTTGTTCCATATTTTTAAATCTAAGTCCTTCCGTTTTTGATAGTAAAGGTAAGTCATGGCCATTTATGGAGTGCTGGACCACACAAAGGAAAGTTTCGTAAAAGAAACTAGCAACATGCCTAAATATTTTTAAAAATTATAAACAGCAAAATATTATATAAAACAAACAAATAAAAAATATATTATGTTAGAAGACCAACAAAAAAAGATTCACAAAATGCAAACTTTTTGAATTTTATAATTAATAACAATATATCGAAATCTGAACTAATAAGAAATAAAAAAAAGCCATTAGCACTATTTTGGGATAGAGTAGTACCGCTTAGGTAGACGCGTCTTGGATTCAGCGAGCCACCGACCATGAGTCACCCTGTATATCGTCGTTGCGGTTGTGGAAAGGTAGACTGGTTTGGGGAGGGGGTAATTCTCCAACTAAATTTCCAGGACTCGGCGAGCGGTCATTAGTGTTATCCCACAGTAAGAGCCAAACCTAAGTTAACAATTGAATTGAAGTTTCCGCGACGAAAATGGACAAAATTAACGCTTTCGAATATAAAGTCGAACTGGTACCGCTATACGGTTTGTATTGATTTTATCTCAAGGACCATAATAATAATTATTAAACAAAATCAAAATGGGCTTTGGTTAGTTTTATATTAGCCACCCTGTACAGAAGTCAGATTATTAAGTACGGAAATGGTTGGATAGGACCTTTTGATATAATAATATATACTGCAATAATAATATATACTACAATAAAAATATATATTATAAACGTGTGGACTTGAATACTTTTCTTACATACATACACATTTATTGTGATTATGATCTGGTTTTTCACCCATAATTTATGTTGATTCAAAAAGTTATTTTACAAAATTGTCCCTTTTTTTGAAAAACACGTGCATCGAAAACGAGTGACTTGTACTTTGAAAGTGAGAAAGGACATGTAGGTAGCACCCCTATAAGTAAGACCTAAATTAAGGAAAAAATATTTCAAAAAAGAAGTATTTACAAATTTGTAATAATTTAACTGTGAAATATTGAAAATTTATTAAATAACACCCTGTATACTTGTAATAAGTCGAAAAAAAAACAATGTTATATGTCCCATGGTCATAGTTTTATATTTGCTATTTATATTTCCAACGTTTAAATATTCTGTTGCCTTGTTAGTATTTTCATGTATTGTTTAAATGATTTTTTTAAACATTACCTTTAAAAGACAAACTTTAATATGAGAAAACTCAGGTGAATGTTTTAAAAGCATATAGTAAAACGGCCAAGTGAAAATGCTGGACATTATTTTCGAGTGAAATGGTCACCAGGGAGTGAGATTGTCATCTCGAAAATTTTAAAACTGAGTTTTTATAAAAATTTCTAATGTTAACCATAGTTAAAGTGAATATTTTTGGGTAAGTTCTTAAAGCTGAGACCAATTCAAATCTTTTTTGTTTAATCCAGTTTGCTCTATTTTTGCAAGGAAAGTGGTGGGGTGTATTCGAACTCTTTCTTAAATAAATGTTCATATCTCCTAAAAGGTTTAACGCATTTTAATAAGAATAGAGTAGTTAAAAGAATAAATGCAAAAAGTTATGACTTTGTATGTCATTTGATAATAATACAAAGGTTCAACAAACCCAGTGAAAACCGCATCTCAATATCTTTATCCTAATCTAAAATATTAACTATTAAAAAGATCATAATTCTTTTCGATAGCAGTAGACATAAAAAACTCTTCTTTTTAGTTTAGTGGAGATCTTACATTTAATTAAAGAAATAAAAATTTTGCTCTCGTAAAATTTGTGTGTACACCTCCCTAAGTAAATTGAAAGGGAGAAGATACGAGTTTCGTATTTTTGTACCCGAAAAGTAAATTTAAAAAGTTTTAATGAAAAGCAACCAGTTTTAGTCAGATTTACTTTAGGAATCTAATTTTACAAACTTCGCCCAAAGCACATTACTAATATTACGCGATTTCACTAAAAATATTTGTTTCAGCGTGGATGACGTTCCGTACTTAAGCGAAGATCAATACCAGGAGCTATTGATTACGATACGCTGAAGTCGTGCGATAGTCAAGCCGAATGTTCGACCCCAGAAAAATCCGCAGCCAATTAAATCAGCGTCTATTCGTATAAGGAATCGGTGTCAAGTTATAATACAAACAAATACGATTTTTCAATGTTTTACGCATAACCAAATACCTGTACATACATTTAATGAAAGTGTTATCGTTTTAGGCGGAACGCAGTGACAAATTTTGGCGGCCCTTGACATTAACGATAATGATTGGCAAACAACATATAAATTCGAAAAGGTTTTCATTCTTGAAAAAGCACGAGTCGTCGTAGCTTAGTATTTATTATTAAAAAACGGTAACAAATAAAACTACCATTCTGCCAATAGATTTAAGAAGGGTTTTAATAGACTTAAATGACCGACCGCAGTCAGAATTTGCCATCTAATTTTTAGTTTCATTTTTGTATAGATCATTGCATATCTGATTAACATATCTCTCTAGTCGTCGATGATGAGGGTTGCATTTTTCGGTTCTTATTTAAATTGCTATAGATATTGTATTGTATTGTAAAAAGAGCGTGAAAAAGGAGATGGAACCACCATGAAACCACCATTTTTAGTGCTTTAAAACTTATTCACAACAAGATGTGGTTACTTTTTTTTCGCTTTAAACTTGTTGATTATTTAATGTTGATCGACTGCAAAAAGTGCAATTTTGACGTATTTACTTACGGTTTAACCGGTTACTGCCAGGTAATAAGGTATTTTTTTGATAAATGTTTAATTAGAAGTGGATGTTTCCATTTAAGTAATATAATAATAAAATGATTTAGTAACGAATTCGTTCATACTTTGGTTTTGGAAAATTTGGCGACCATCTTGGCTAGAAATGTTAACATTAAGTATTTCACGTAGATTTCAAACACTAAAGCAAAATAGGGAGTTTCCATTTAGTTGCTCTCAAAGTTGTTTGTGCCACTTGGTACGATGTGAATTAATTTTAAAAACTGCCACTTTTTTCTTTATTTATTTACTTGCCCTTGGGCATAATATTTACTCAACGATCACGAAATCTTGATAATGCGTTTAATTGCTGCGCTAAAATTAAATTTTAAAATGAGTTCTCGCTGATTATTTCGCCCAAAACATCTCGCTAGAAAATGCAAAACTTTTCATCAGCACGGCAAATGAATATTTAATGTCTAGTTAATTAGTGAAATTTAGTTTATATTTTATATACTTTTTGTATATTGTGCGACTTTCACATTTCGATTAGACTTTTTATTAGGAACTTTCTGGATGCTGACATTCTGCCTATCCCACAATAATTGTCGCTAAATATGATAATAATTAGAACCGATCATCCAGAAATTTCCTAGCTCCGTATTAGTGTATTATGAATGTTCGACGAACTGAATGTAAATATCCACAGATCGTTAATGGGAGATTCGGTGTAAATGTGTCAAATAGCGTACTGAAGTATAGTGTATTTCTATTAAATTATTTATAGATGTTCAAATATAACGATATGTGAATAAAATTTATGTATTTTTTCTGTACCTTCTACATCTGGGGCTTAGTTTCGTCTTTTTCTACAAGGTGTTCCATAACTTACCCCCCATAAGGGACAATGAAACTAACTAAACACAACTAAAACATTTTTATATTAATTAAATTCATTCGCGAGTGCATAATACCAGTTGAATGAATATTGAAAGTCCAAAGGGTTAAGGTATCAAAAGAACGTTGTTTGCATAGAGGACATTAGATATTTTTCTGCTATTGAAGTCAATCTTTGTGATGAGAAAGATGAAAAAAATCATTATTAACTGTGAAAGCGCCCTTTAGATTCAAAGTTTAAAGCTTCACTTCAAAACTTCATTTTTAACAGCCCATATTTTTGTCACGACTAGTGACACTTTCGCAACCACATTTTGATTTTGTCTTTCTTTAAATGTAATTAGTTTTACTTCTAAGTTAAGCTCTGTTTTAGAAGAATTGATTACATGCAAGAACTTTATTTTTTGTTACTTTTGGTTCGGCAACCGCTGATGAGTTGATTTTTCGTAATCTTGAGGCTCTTTCATGTTTTTTGAGTCTACTTCAAATTTTTTGTTCGCTCCTCTCCAATGTATTCTTTGCCGCATATGCATGGAATCCTGTAAAAAATGTTGAGAGATTTTAAGACAAGTAGTTTTGACTTTATTTTTCTTAAGAACTTTCCTTATGTGATCACCGATGTTTTGAATGAAAGGAAAGACAAGTGTAGGGTTGCTTTCGGACTCGTGTTTGGAAGGTTGTGGCGAACAGATGTAAGGTGTTTTAATTCTGGCTTCAATGACTCGGGTTGAGTTAATTTTATGACTCTGTAAACAAGAGAGTTAATAACCGATGATTTTTGGGTCGGATGGTGATGTGATAATGCACTAAGTTATGTCTAAATCTCTAAAATATAATCACGACATCGTAGTTCTAAAAGCAGATAAAGGAAATTAACACAAATGAATATCAGGAAAAGATGCAGGATATTCTTAAAAACGGTTCCCTATCGTCCACTTAGAAACGATCCTACGTCATCTATGGTGAAAACCACTTGTAAAAAGATTTTCAACATCTGTCAAGGGCAAAATTCCGCCTGCATATGCGGCAAAGAATACATTCGAAAGAGCGGACGAAAAATATCAACTATGCTTAAAAAACATGCAAGAGCCTTATGACTACGACAAATAAACTCATCCGCAGTTGTCGAACACAATCACGAAACCGGAGATAACATTTTTTTCGATACTACTAAAATTCATGCGTATATTCAATTCTTCTACCAACGAAGCTATAGAAATCTATAGAATCTAGAGCAAGCAAACAATCTTACGCGCGACTCAGGTCTTTCCTTTCACCAACATATGGATCAGTCATCTGAAACAATGCTCATGTCCGCTCCTTCAGTGCCGCCCTCCTCAAACAATATATAAGCAGGTACAGAGCAAAATGCGAGCCAGTTTAATATCCTATACCTAGGTCTTACCGTTTCTGATACATTTTGAAATTTGGATATTATGTTTCCGAAGCCTTTATTATATATTTAAATGACGTCGCTATTTTGGCTTACTCCTTTTGGAAATAAAATATTTGACAGTTTTTCGCCACATTTTAGTTATTTCTATTACTATTGGTAGTTTAATTCAAAAACAATGGTTTATTATCTGTAGCATTTAGAAAAAATCAATTAAAAGGAGATTTTTTATAACACGGCTCTACTAATTGCATAACCCTAACGGTCCTACAATTTTTAAATCTTTCACATCTTTCTTGCAGGTTTTTGTTCATCTGAATATTTTTCTGCAAATGTCAGGATTTTTTCTTTATTTGTGCCATTTCTGTAGGGTCGATAGTTAATATCTGTATAGCATATTTAGGATGCAAAAAACCTTTATTGGCGACCTTATACAAAGCCAGCCTTGTTCATATATTTAATACAGTAAAATTATAAAAATAGGGTTTTTCCATTTGAACAAAATTGCTTTTAACGATTTTTTCATTAAAATTTCTAAAGTTAATTTTACAGCCTTCTGTATTTATTTATTATTAAAATATCATTTTACAGACCACCACACTATAAAGAAATGAACACCAAAAATACATTACAAAGGCTTGCAAAATTGCAAAAATTCCCATAATCGATAGATCCATTAAGTTGTACAAAGTTTTAACATAAAATTCAAAATATATCGGAAACTCTATGAAATATGTCTAGAAAGTTAGGAGGAAGTCAAAAAGATGTTCTTATTTTAATTTGTTTTTATTCAAAATAAGAAAGTTGTTACTTGTCCACCAAAATACAAACATCATGTTTATATAACAACAAAATATCTTAACTTAATATTTTTTACAGGCTATAAGGTGTCATCCCCGGGCTACCCGGTGCACTCACTTATTACTAAATCCAAACTTAAACTTAAATTTTTTTCTTGCAAGAAATTTCAGTCGCAAATGAAGTCAGTTGTCGAATCCGATTTCATCATTATTTTAATTTGTGAAAACTTTACGCTTTTTAATCAATGGAGCAACGAAATGAAAGTTGCGTATTTTATATTACGGTCTGCTAATTTATTTTTAACCTTTTTTCTGTAATGCGATCAAACAAATCTCCGTGGAAACAGTGCATAAAATTTAGAAAAAGGTAAACGAACTCGAGCGTGTTGCTAAATATTGTGACTAATCTGCAATTACCTACTGAGAACAAACTACACAGTAAATTTATGTCGCTTAAAAGTCTGAAACTAGAAAAAGCATTTTTTCTACTCCTTTCTGTAAAATATCTAATTATACACCGAGCTCGTGTCATTTTAGCACGTCAGTTTCGTTTCCCACGGATCCGAGCCCCTTCGGACATTTTCGGAATTTACCGCACGGCTTTGCAAGCAATCGTATGTTTTCGGAAATTTTACCGCACGGATTAGATTTTGACGTTTGTCAATTCTGACAGCTATGTCATTTAGTGTATTTGTGTTGTTTTGCAAAAATGTACCTAAAAACTAACAGTCGTAGAAAAAGTATAGTATGTAACAAGTTGGATAAACTATTTTAGTCACTCGTTTATTAAACATTCTCTCCTCTCTCGTGCCACATAAACTCGAATGCCGTTTACCGTACTTGTTGAATAATATATTATTATTTTAACTGCTTTTATGATCTTATTAGCTTCAAAACTTGAACTTGAAAACACTAGTTTTCTCTAATTGTAAGACACTTGTCACACCGTGTATGTATTCTCCACGATGCTTGTACAAAGTTCATGGGATAGAAATTTCATCCTGCACCCTGCATCCTTTCGTGCAGATTGTTGATTCCCAAACGAGCATGGGTTTAGGCAGGATAGCCTTCAAGCACATGTGGAAACAGCGGCGTTGCCAAGTCGAATTAATGCCCCCACACTAAAAGCTCAACACAATCACAAACCTTATATTGACTAAGGGCGCAAAAAAAAATCCTACCACGTGAACTCTGCGGCTGACTACACCACCTACGGAATTCAGTCGATGTGCTTAAAATTAATGTAGACGAAAGGTCATAACGTCGTCTCTCCAAGAAACGGCGACGAAAGAGAAAGGCGGCAGCGCCGCCTGCCGCGTCGAAAGCGCAAGCGCAAGAGCTTTCGTTCCATCCGCCGAGTGAATGTTTATATCGCGCATCAGCTGTTTTATGTTTTGCAGGAACGCAATTTAAAGCAGCATGCCGTTTATTTCCAAAGATTGGCGATCGCCGGGAGAAGCATGGGTCAAAACCGACGAGGGATGGGAAAAGAAAAAAGTGCTGGAACACTGCAAGTCCCTGAAGTGAGTATTTTCCGCTTTTTCTGTAATTTTCGTCGCTTCCCGATCGATTTTTTCGGAACTCGATTGCCGATTTCTTTGTTCTTTTGGCGTTCCGCTTGTCTTGTGCAGTAGATTTTCTCGCGCGCTCTTGAGTTTTCACCGTGATTTTTTGGTTTTGGAATTGTGATCGAGCCGTTGGCAATAACGGGTGTGTTTATAAGTTAATTACTGCGTTCTCGATCTATTTTCGAGCGAATGTTTGTTTCAATATGGACTGACATTTAGCGGACCTTAAGGTCTTTTATTTTTAGATACGTTTTTGAAATAGGACATTCTGGAGTGGCATAAAATAATAATGCCACGTTGCGTATAAATTGCTGCAGTTATTTATGCGTGTCATTGCAATTATGCGTTTTAATAATATGATAATTGAGATATAGGTATTTAGGTACTGCTTGTTTCAATTTTTTTCCCACTAGCAAATGAAATGGAAGTGATTGCATTCGTAACGGGGGGCGGTAACACTTTTTTTTTCGTTAATATTTCCTTCATATTTTGATGAAAAATAGGTTCTTAATGGTTCTTAAAAAAGAATGCGGATAAACAACATATTCCGAGAACTTTCTTATCAGCTTTATAGATACAATCTAAGAATTTAATGCTGCCACCCAGTCACCTTAAAAAAAAACTGTTATCGGTTAACCCAAAATGGTTTTAATTTTATTGTATTTGGGTTGTTAGTTAATATTGTTTTAAAGGAAGCAATGTTAGATATTGCAACTTTTTTTTTAACGCAACTTCCCTAAACTGTGAGATTTAATGGGCACGGCCGGTTACAACGAACAAAGGTATAAAGTATGTCAATCTATTTTAAAAAGAATATATATTGTGTTTGGCAACATTCCAGCCATACAAAATATATTGCTTAAATAATTATCACGACTTTCCTACGAAATGCAATATATAACTTCAGAAATACAGGGTGTTATTGAAATGACGTTAAAAAAGTGAATGAAAGTATCTCAGGGTTGTGGGGCACAAGGAAGAATACTCGTACAATGTTTGCAGCTTAGCATGATTGTCGTGCTACTGAATCTTTCCGTGTGATATAATAAACGAGCCAAACCTTTTTACCGCTGCTTATTTAATTACTTAATTATTATAAACATGAAAATAAACTCATTCGTAATTACTTACTTTTGAACTAATGACTTCAAAGGCTCCTTCCTGTCCTTATCAAAATCACTAATTCACTATTTATGAAAAAAGGAACAGTAAAAAATCTCTTCCCCTGCATATTTGTCCCAATATTTATGATACTATACGTTTGGTTGTATTTCTTACAATAAATAGGGTCCTGTTCATTAAAAACCCCTACGCCTAATTTTTCATGGTGTATTTGTTTTTTATTTTTGGCATTTAATTTTGTGTCAATTGTCAACACTAGTCGAAAAGACACAAATAGTTGAAAAATAGAAGAAGGAGGGTTATTAAATGAAAAAGCGTTACATTTAACGCGAACCTGAATATTGGAACTGGATAAAAAACTTTTCAATCTAGTTATAACGGGCAAATTCGGATGTATCCACCGGACGGAACAAAATTTGAAGGGCGTTATACTAACAACCTCGCATTTATATCTGGGGGTTTTTCTGTCAATATGTAGAGCTGGATAAGTGCCCATGAGCTTGATGTATGCTGGCAATTGGAGAAAAGATTTTATTCTAAAAACTATCTTAATGTTCCGGAGCACATTATACTTCCATCCATATCTATTAGGTCCATATATCCCAAATTTTTTTTTATTTATCAATACAATTGTCCCGTGCCTATTGCAAATTCAATTAAGGACTGTTTTCAAAATAATAATGTAGAAGTGTAACCGTGATCTTCATTAAGTCTGGACTTTAATCTGTTGGAAAATGGGTGGACTATAATGGTAAGAAAAATTATAACTGTAATTTTGTAACATTTTGTGAAAGTGTCGGAAACAATTCATGAATGCTTGGAAGAGCTTAATAACCAAATTTTTGTTTTTGTACCTACCACTTTATTATTGTTCTTGTTTAATATAACATTCAATTTGTTGGCATTGTTACAAAATTCATATAAATAAAAAATATTACTTAGTATATAGTAAACGCCAATGATTTGCATTTATTAAATATAACTTTAAACATATGTCTCGCTAACCAAAACATATGTCTGTGATAGCCTTAAAGAAATAATCACAAAAGCTTGTTTTAAACTGCTTAAATAATACGAACACAACTGTACATTCTAGTTGGTAATCCCAAACAAAGTCTTATTAAAGTGTCAACAGCTTTTTTTGTATGACCTATTATTCCAGTTTTATGAGTTACGGTTTCCCCAAAATGGACGTCATCGCGCCCACAAAATTTCACCGACAAAAACAGCTAAAGAAATTAGGTGGCCGTACAGTATAACAAAAAAAGCGAACGTGAGATCTTCAAAACGAAACACAAACAAATCGTCGTCTTTGACGTTTAGTGGCGACGAGATAACAATCCTAAAGTCCCTGCGCCATTTTAATACCAATCCGGCTTCGATAAATTTCGATAGGTAATGGTTAAATGTCGACAAATAAGGGGACCCCTTCGGGACAATGAACGCCAAATAAAACGATTTGGGACATTCTGGAACCACGTGTAGCAGATTTTGTTCGTGATGACGTTGGATGGTTTGTATCAACTGTTTAATTTCTTTAAATCGACCGGTCGTCGCGCAGTTTCTGGCAGTAGCGACGAGTTTTAACCTGTTATATATATCATCAACTTTAGCGTCTTCGACGACCTTTTCGTTTGATATCCTTTGATACACCGCACTGGGAATGGAACTGAAGATGTTGAAGGCCGACTTAATCGTGAGATTTGACTTGTCCAATTCGTCGATGGTGTTTATGTCTGGATAAAACGTGTGGTTGCTGAAGGAATACAGCACGTGCGCGAAATATATTACAGATAAGTTTAAGATGAATAACATTAGACCGAGTAAAAATATTTTTCTCGATGTCGATTGGTAAAGGACACTTTGAGATGACTGCGACAACATTACCGCAATTATTTCCATGATGGAATCGTACCTTTTCGTTAGCTTGTAATTAAGATATGCACACAAGGCCAGCGCAATGAAAAAATATAAGAAAAATTTGCCTTTAAAAACCCGCAACGCTAGTTTCCACCTCGGAAACGGCAAGGCTTTCGGCACCACAACGCACATTTGGTCTCGGTCGTACTGTAGGCCAAACTCAAAATCCTCATTTCCAGTATCTTCGACATATCTTCCGTTAGCTTGCAAGTCGATTTCCCTTCTTAAGATTTGCCCTAACGTTCCGGTAGCTGTGCCGTTGTCTAGAACTTTACCATAGATCTGTGCGTTGGGATCATCGATAAATGTGATCGTGAAATTCATTATTTCCGACAATCCCGACAGTATCATCCCATCTTCACCGAAGAACCTCTTGTTTTTGTAAATGCTAATGCCCTGAAGCCCTAACGGTAAATGTCTTAAAGCTGTGGGTTGTCTTTCTAGCATACTGACCCTTATCGGATATCCATTTAAACGTTTTACGTCGTTAATAATTGTATTCGTATTTGTTTGGATCCCTGCCGTTTGATACGTTTCCGCCTTTCCAAAATGGCCACGTGTGTTACGAAAGGGTTTATAGACCACTATCTTCGAGTCAATAAAGATGATGACATTTAAAACTCCAAATCGCTCCCAAAACTTCTCGAGAATTTCTTCAATTGCAGCACTTGAATTGTTGGAGCAGAATATTACTAAGAACAAATGCCCCGCTTTCGTCCCAATGTTTTGATCATGGTGCAGGAATTGTTCGAAAATATTTTTATCCGGTACAATCATTACATTGGCCTGATTCGCAAATATTCTATTGCCCGGGGATTTCATTTTCTTTTTATTCTGCCGCAACTCGGCGTAGTTTGCGCTTGCTCTAAAAAAATTATTTTCCACTGAATAGGTTTTCCTGTTAAAGTAGTTTACCAAAGTAAACAGGAGCATGTCACAATTGTTGTAACGATCGGTGGAGATATATCGCAGTACCATATAATGTATATGATTTGAAGATCTGATAAGATTCGCATATATGTTAAGTAAATCTTCGGGATACTGCCCATCTTCGGATACATTGTCAAGTTTACATTCGCCTCCGGTAATGCAATGCATCACGAAAACTAACGGGTACAGACTAAAAACGGTTTTCATAGTTGAAATGGTTCTTAACACCCTTTGCGTTCAGGTTTTATAATTTTCCTTTTGTTGTGATTAGACTGATAGTGTGTCTGTTGTCAAATAATTAGCGTAGGTAATTTGATTTATTATGTCGAAGTAAGGACATCAAAGGCGTGCTTTCAATTTATCATTAACTTCGCCGAGACACTTTTTGAAATAACAAAACTTGAAAGTAAGTTATAGAAATATTAAAAAGTCTTTAGTTTCATCGTAACTACTAATATGGACCAGACAGTTTAACTTAGCTTCCAATTATTTTATCCATTCTTTCGTAAAATAAAAATTTCTTGAAGCAATTTAATATTTGTAAATTTAATTCTTGTATCGATTATGAAAATAGCAATAAACATCAAATATATTATACGTGTATATAAAAAACTAAACTTTTTAATTAAAGCAGATCTACATTTGGTAATTGCGTTAACGTACAAAAACCTTAGGACATCCTTGCAAAAATCTTTATTAAAAATTAAAAATCTTGCAAGGATCTTTGAAGCAAAATAGGATCGCCAGGGACGGCCAATTCTTATGAAACGTCATGTACAAGTATACGAATGCTGCAAATTTTGAGATAAGACACATCTGTGGATTGACTTTTAGTACATCTAACTTGTTTTGACTGACTAATATCTCCCTTGGTAACTCAACTCAAGGAAAATTAATTTGATATCTTTGTTGTTGGCAGATATGGTCAAAAAAACGATCCGTGCGACGAACAAAAGGAGTATATAGACTCACAGACTTCTAGTCAGCCACACTGTCAAATTACCGTGAAATGTACGAAAGAAGTAAGAGCTTGATATGATAACCCGAGTCTTTAGAAAAAGAACTAATTACGTTGTCACGATCGAACAGATTGCCGGTTTTAATAAGCTGGACGAAGTTGTGAAACGACTAGACTTTCACAGTGCCGTCCACGACGTACGTAGATTCAACTACATATGCGCATTGCTGGATCTACTGATCGGTCAACATACGACTGGACTCTCCGGCTGTACCCAAAAAGCGTTACTCGCCATGCTGGAAGAAGTTGCTAATTACGCTACAGCCAGTCAGCACAATCCCAGAGGATTCCGACGACTGTTAAACAAACTGAAAGCGCTGAGCACTGCTGAAAGATCTGCCTGCTGGGGAGGTATGTATACGCGGCTTCAGTCCTTCCGTAATTTTCATTATAACATATCCTCTGTAGGTCCTTTAGGTTCGCAACTTCTCTGGCACCAACACACGGCTAAAATAGACAGGATACTCAACATGGCATCTCAGTTTCAAGTCAGGGAACCTCATCCCGACACACATCCGACGCTTCTACAGCTCCCCGAGGAGTGCATCAGAGAGATTATATTAAGACTGTCAGATCCCAAGGACTTGACCGCCGGAGAACAAGCCTGTGATCAAATTTCGTCGATCGTTAACGAACAAAGGGTGTGGAGAGAACTTACGAAATTTCACTTCAACCAGCAGCAGATTGATCTGATTTTACCAAAAGACGACGCGGACGTCGATTGGAAAGCTGCGTTCCATTCATGCAAAAAGTGAGTAAAAAAGTGATTTTTGGCTCCTAAATAAAGCTTAGATTTTATTATCAAAGTCTACAATGATTTGGAAAACCCAAACCCCAATCATATGTTTGTCTTAAAGGCAGTATCAACATAGGTCAGGTCTTTATATTTCTAGACCCATTTTTCTGCCTCATGACTTAAGTATTGTTTATCAAACTGCTAACTACTATTGTGTTAACATGATGATGATGATGCTAATTTTTTAAGACTTTATTGGTCTGAAGTAAGCACCATATATGAATTTTATGCTTTCAAATTTTGCAAATTGATGTTTGAAACTGGCAATATAACTGGTCAGTTGGAAAAAGCCAATTTAAAAGGAAATGAAGCACTTTTAAAATTGAAAGTAAATGTGGCTTTAACCCCTACTAAACATCCGTTCTTTTCCGAACCTGTGATCAATTATGGTTTTCGGAATATATCTAAAAAATTTCCTATTTGAATTGTATACTAGTATATGTCTATTAAACTTTGTGACCTTTCATGTGTCGCCTGCATCTTCTCGTTTACAAACATAACCTTTGTAATAAAAAAATTATTTGGGCGTCTAATATTCTATACAATAATTCATATAGCCATTAGGTAATAAAAATAAATAATAAAAGATCAGATTTTCACGAAATTATATATTATGACATGACAATTGTTTCGACAACACCGTGTCTTTATCAAATTTTATCACATTTGATAAAGACACGGTGTTGTCGAAACCCATTGTCATGTCATGATATATAATTTCGTGAAAATCTGAACTTTTAGTTCTTATTTATTTTGATAAATGGATTTTCATCAAGTAAAAGCCACCTCAGTTCAACATTAGGTAATAGTGGGTTTATTACCTTAAAAACTGATGCGCCGCAGGCGGCAGGAATTTTCGCATGCCCCACTAACCTGCACTTTGCACCATTTTCTCTCTATACACTCAACTCGTTTTCCCAGAACATTTCGCGAGATCTAGGCATATTTTGACAAAATACTGCCGCAAACATGCCACATCCAGAGTCATCGATAATCTATCTGTCAGCGGTCATGTTAATTGTACTTTGATGGCGCAAGGTAATTGATTAAAAACAAAGTTGTAAATTTCGCGCATGCGCATGTTGAATGAACCTTCTTAAAATTTTCTTTTATACTTGCTTTATAAATTCCTTTATTATTTTCATAGGCAGTACCTCTTTGTCTCTAGTAGCTATTTGGAATAGTTTAATAGAAATATATTTTTTTGCAGAACGTTCGGGCTAAACGAAGACAGACAGTACGCGGAAATGTTGTCGTTGTGCAAATATTGCCGCTGTCTATTCTGGAAATCGTTGGGTCATCCGTGCATCGCCGATCAGTGTCCAGATTATATGGCTCGATTGCAAGAGGCGGGAGGAATTACGCCTCCAAGCCCAGTGCCACCTTCCGCTTTCCTTAAATTTTTCTCTTTGTAGATGCCTTACTAACTGTTGTTGACAGAGTTTTCAGCTTTTCCAACTGATCGCTGGCTGAGAACTCTGTTCTAGTCTCGAGCCACTAAGAATGGCAGAAATATTTTTATTACAGGATGTTGAGCGTAGTTTTTTGTTTTCATTTGAAAAACTGAATATGCTAAGGAGCAATATGAGGTTGTGCGTTGCTGCACTCTTGTTTCGCGCGTACAAAGTTGTTACTTATTTGCTCAGTTTTTTTAGATGGTTGAGCACTGAAGTCCGATCTCAGTTTTTCAGAGTGTTCAACATTTTGCAATTGATTTGATGTTAACCAAACGTGTTTTGTTCCTTATTTTCATAGAAAAAAAATGTGGATTTGATTCCTTAACTTTTGCTTGTATTGATTGAAATGTGATATGTTTACTTTTTTCAATTTAAGTGTTAGGCAGGTCAAAAAAATTATATTAGCAGTGATTGGGTATTGGGAAGATGTGATAGAAAAAAAATTTTTTGACATGCTTTGATAGGCTGCTATATTATCTTTCTCTTATGCTTGGCGAGTCTCGGCAGATTGGAACAGAAATTGCTAAATTAAGAATTCAAAATCAACCGTGACTCGCTTTTTAAATTAACTATACTACATTAATATATCAAAAGAATGGTATTATAACAAATTAAAATATTTTTACTTACAGTCATAAATGGTAGTTTTTTTTTTCAAGAATTAAATATGCAATACTTTTAAGAATATTCACTTTACCAGCATTGGTAAAATTAACTGACATGTACAGCAAACAGGTTTAAAAATTGTTGAAGTCGACATAAATAATTGAAAAAAATCAAAAATACCTAGAAAATGAACAACAGATATGGAAAACATTCAACTCATTTTTCTAATGGTGCATAATTGAGCAATTTTTCAATCAGGTCTACATGGCCCAAAAGCATTCTGCGGCAGCAATATCTTTTGAGCCCCAAAGCGTCTAGAGCATCTCCTTCTGTATATTCTGCTTGCAAAAGACCCAAGTAGGCTTCCCATTTGTTTCCGATTACTTTCCCACATGTAAAGCAACGTACTGGGATAATCATCTAAAAAATATAGAAATGATTGATTGCAGCCCTGAATAGGCATCAAACTTACTGTTCGTCCTTTATTACAGATTGATAAAACGTATTTTTTCAATTAATTAGTTGTTTAAGATTTATTTGTACTATTTTTGACCAGAAATCATTCCACAGATTGAGAGGTTAACTGCAAAGATCAAATGTCGGTAATTTATATCGCAGAAGAGCAACATGTTTCCTATTAAAAATTAGTACTTAGGACAGCAATCCCTTAAACCTAGTTTATTATATTCTGATAATTTTTAAGCTTATGCAAATGAAATACATCCATGAAATTTCAATTTTGAATAATTAAAAAAAGTAGAATCTTTAGGATAACAAACATTACAGTTTTATCATGTTATTTTGAAATTCTCATTTTGGAATCCACTGAGAAATTTCAGTGATATATGAATGAATATAACTCTATTTGAAGAAATATGTTCTTAAAATATTTTTGGACTAATTTATTTATACTGTTAATCTTCGCACAGAATTCATATTTTAAAATTCCCGCCAATATAAATGTCTGAGTTTAATCTTTTTTATTTAATTACACTAACTTCATATACATCGCTGGTACACAATTTTAATTCTACAAAAACATATTTGCTTTTTTTTTAATGTAAACGGTTTTATATGGATTTCTGGAGTGTATTTATTTGCTAGAATGGTCAAGTTTTCAAATTAACACCGGAAGTAGCCATTTTGACTAGTGTGGTAGCTTCCCATGCCCACTTTGCCGCTACTTTAACAAGCCGGCCATTATTTTGTAAAGAAGTCGTCATTGTTAGTGTTTGGCGGAAAATTTAGCTTTTATAACTTTAGTTCGACGTATTTGTGTTAAACAGCCTCAATTAGTTGCGCGAATAAGTTTTATTTATTTTCAAACAATGGGAGACGAAAAAAAGGTAGGCATTTTGCAAACCTTTGTTGAAGTACCGCATTGACATTTTCTGGGACGTTTGAGGAGTGCTAACGCTTATGTTTTTTTGGATTTTAGGGTAACGAAACCGAGCACATTAACTTGAAAGTGTTGGGTCAAGATAATGCAGTGGTACAATTTAAAATCAAAAGGCAAACGCCTTTAAGAAAATTGATGACTGCCTACTGTGAACGTGCTGTAAGTTGTGTTTGGTTTATAAAAACCCTTGATCATTATTTTAATTACAATTATAAATTGAAAAATTAATCACCTAGGACAGAACATATATATTAATTTTGCTGTGCATTTAAGCCCCAATCTCTTAGCATTTCGGCATGTCTTGCATTACATTACATTTCTTCTCTTTGATTCTTTTACACTTTCCGTAACACTAGTAACAACCTATATTTCTTTCAGTCACCCTGAGATACAAGACATTAACAATTCAAATTTATATTCCACTATCATGGTGTTCTGAAAATCTTCTAGAGTGGTGAAATTGCATAAGTGACCTAATAAAATCACAAAATTCAAATTTAAACATTTAGCTGGACATGTGAAACAAATGTAAATTGGCTGAGAGTCTTTTATCTTATCAGATTTATTGTCATTTTAGTTTTGTGGTTGAAAGGCAGTTTTGATTTTACGGGTCATTGTATTTCAGGGTTTAAGTACAAATGTTGTCCGGTTTCGTTTTGACGGCAATCCAATAAGCGAAGCAGATACCCCAACAACCTTAGACATGGAAGAGGGTGACACTATTGAAGTATACCAGCAACAGACGGGAGGGTATTGTTAAGTTCACATTAATTTTTATTCATTTAATGTATTCCTACCTTAACCACATTCACAACTACTCTAAAAAGCAAAAGGGCAAATTGGAAGTAGAATAATGTTCAATTAGACCTTAAGTCAACTTTTTTTTTTATTAATTTGTCCTGTTGCATAGTTCATTTCCAAAATTGAAACTATTCTGTTTGCTAACAGTAGGTCTGATTTTTGTAATTAAAGAAAATGCTCTAGAATAAATACCAGTTTTTCAGATGTAGTCATTTTTATTGTCCAATTCATTGACAACAAATTTTTTGAAAATTATCAATGACATACTACAAGAACTTGTACTCAAATGAAACAACAATCGTCCAGTGATTTTATTTTTGTTTTTTCTTTTGTTTTGTTATAAGTGATTTCTGAATGTTAGGAGAAAACACTGCGTCACCGAATGAGCTAAAATGTAAATTATAAAATACAACGGCCGCTATAAAGCTTATTAATGAAATGATGGTAATGTATTCTGCTCGGTTTTTAAACGGTACTCCGCATGTTGTATACCAAACAGATCCGTTCCGTGGCGGATTTTTGTTCTTCAAACAACTCCAGTTGAAATACTGTTCATCGTAATCTGTTGCACACAGATATTTTCTTTTGGGCAAAGACTGAAAGTAAAGTTTACTTACTAAATAAAAATTTATAATGGGCGCGTGGTTTTTTTACTGCTGAATTTGAAAAATTTCTTAATATATATTGTTGATAAAATTGCGATAAGTTAATATAAGGAAGCTGAAAAGTAACAACCTGGAACTCAAGTGTTTGTCCAAAATTATACAGCCAGGATTTTTTCCAATTATTTTTTTTTTTTTTGTAATTTTATTAAACCTATCTTCTGCCAATTACCTGTGTTATATAAAGAGTTTAAAAAAAAAGCGCTATTTCCTAGGATGAACATAATATTTAAAAAATAATGTTTGGTTAAGAAACGTGTCTCCAAATGGCCTCCATCGGTTTTTTAAATTTTTCATTGTTTTAAGGTACCTAAATGGAAATTGGTGGTGCCACAAATTATCTTTAGGGTTCTTTTTTGGACAGAAATATTTGTTTAAAGTAAAAGAAAAAATAGTCATTTTGGAGTTATTTGATTTAATGCTGACCTAAGTAATACATTTTGTTTAGTAATTTTCATGCGGGGGATCGAACTATTTCAGCAAATAGTGATTGTTTTAGAATCAACTAAGAAGTTAAAATATTGTATATAATTTTGAACCTGTTTTTTTTTTGTGGACCCCTTTTACAGAGCGGGTATCTTCTGGAGACATTTTCGGACACATGTTTATTAACCAAACTAAGGGTTATTTTTAACATTGTATTTATCCTAAACACACGCAGTGTATATTTTTTTTGAATCAGTATGTGTTGTAAAAAATCCGTTCCACATACATACAATGGCTTTAAATAACTTGGACACTACACAAAAAGAAGCAAGAATTGCAAGAGTTGGTAACCCCTTCCTCATGCGAATATTTTAAAATTCCTTCATCTCCCGTAAAACTACCCCGTGTGGTAAGAGTTGGTCATATTTGAACTCGTTTTCTGCTTTCTCTTAAAAATATAGAAAACTTCCAAAAATCATCGAACTTGCCGCACCCTGTATATTTTTATTTAGTACACTCACTGTTCCGGTAGCAGTCCGTATGAACACATATTCGTCGCAAGGCCCAATCTGCTCTTTAATCCCAGTTGAGACCTCGTCCTCCGGATTGAAGAACAAAGTCATGGACAAAAAGACCGCGTAGTGAAGTACCAAATGGACGACCAATAGGACAGTGGTCCAATGAACCACGTGAGACTTCTTATTTAAATTATCGTCATTCCTTGGTTTTCTGTCTGCTGACCATATTATTAAGAGAAATATCGTGAACAAGATGAAGAACGTGACTTCGCTGTGAATTTTATAGTTGTCGTGCAGTGGATGATAAATCGGGATGAAAAGTAATATGCCACCAATTGGTCCGACAAATCCCGTTATTACTGTGGTCACTAGTTCCAAAAAGCACCTGCAACAATAGGGCATAAAAACATTTCTTAGCGGGATAGGGTCACAAAAACAGATGACCCAGTAGAATCATAGTTCTGATTAGTTTACCACGAAACTAATTATTTAATTTCAAATATAGTTTGTGAATATCGAATGGATTTGTTAAAACTGATAGCCCTAGGTTTAGTCCTATATTCATGTCCATGATTATTATTTCGCGAACATAACTTCAATGAGCTTTGAAAAAGGGTTATGTATTTTAATTACTTTATTTGGATATAAAAGGAGCAGATATGGGACTTGAAAAACGCAATATTTGACATTTCAAAAATACTATCAAACAGGCGTAATTTAGAAAAAAACTTATAATGCATTTTTCTTTTCATAAATTCGACTCCATGCGTTGTAAAATAGGTAGACACCTATTCGTATTTTTTTTGTGGCAAAAATTAATTGTCGACTTTCACAGGTGACGCCTAAATCGTGATACAAAACTTTTTTTTAGTTTTGGCTCCATTTAGTGGAAAAATGAGAGATTTGTCACATACACAGGATGTATTTTTATTTATTTTATTATTACTGTTATTTACCTGTTTTTCTGCGCAAATTGTAAATTTTGATTTTCGTCCTAATGCATTCCAACGTTTGCTATTGTTACCAAACTAATAGTTCAAGTGTACATACATTTTCCTAACTCTTTATACAAAAATGGACACCCTGAAATTTATAATAAGTAAATAAATACTTAAAATCACAAAAGGGAAATTTCACACCCTTAAATTCGTTGCTCACTTGGCATTTGTTCATAAACTTGTTGCAATTTATATTTCGGGCATGTGCATAGACAGTGTTTCAATCACCTGATGCAATTTTTATTGCGTTGTCCAAGTTCCTGGATAAGTTCTAATTTTATTGAATAAATACATGCTATTACTGGGCATAATAGAGCTAATTTTAGAATTGTTCTCTTTTTTCGAGTATTTTTTTTATCACTTTCATCACTCCCGATGTAATCTAACCAAAAATGAGGATAGATAATACCTGTTGCTTTTGACCCATTTCCCTTCGCTGGGACAAAACGTCCGCTTCAAAAAATCAAACCAAAATGTAAAACTAGCTGCAAATGCTGCGTGGAAATAGTACGAGTTCCAAGGCACCCAGTAGTGTTTGTCATATATATTTGGATCGGTATCGTGCCAGAACCAATGCATGAACCTTACGCTTACGATATCGTAGGGTATGTCTATCAGGACTACCACTAAACCTACTGCGAATGGTTCGGCCCATTTGGGCAAACGCATTTTTGATACCGCGATGATCGCGTTATACAAAAAGCAAGCGTCTAGAAATTTAAAGGATTAGTACTAAGAAAATTGCAAAACGCGTCTGCTCACAAAGCAGCGTTATGTGTAGAGGAAGTCGTCTCCCCAGAAATATGATGGGTGTTTGGGAATGCCAAAAATTATCCACGTCGGGGCTGACATAGGAGATGCTCTCAACGGCAAACCCGTGAATGAATATGGCCAAATAAAGGTGGAGAAATCGGCTACCTCGGACCAACGCTGCAAACAGACGTACTAAAATGAGGTAATTATCTATACAGGGTGTTTTATAAGTTATCCGCAAATCAAATTGACTTGATACTAGAAAAGACTAGAGCTGTATGTTTGCGACTTGGCGTTTTACTTGATTTTCAAAAGTGTCTTAATGGCGTCTTGTATGATGACGTCGTTACTTCATATTTTTTATAAATAAATATAAGATTTTAGTATTAGCTTATTAAATATCTTTTCGTGTTATGGAATAAACTGTTGCTTTATGGCGGATAATTTATGGGGACACCCTGTGGGTAATATCGCTTGCCATGGATCAACGTCGCTAAACCCCCGAAGAGGAAGACGGCTTGAGACAAAAGGTACGAGGGTTGGTAGTTCCAATGCACTTTCAAATCCGAAACGTTTATCAACCAATCCCAAAACTGCAAAAAGGTAATATAGATGTACGTGTAAATTCATAGGTGATTTTAATTTTGAATTTCGCGCTTACATGTCAGAAATACAGATTGCGGTAATGTTACAATTACATTTTAGCCATCCTAATTTGTGATATAATAGTTCAGGTTGTTCTAAAATTCTTAACTTTCAAGCTGTAGGGGCCTTAAAGTTTTATGTCATAACTTAAATAACTCGGTAGAGATTTTAAAAAATTTTTGATAGCTCTAATTATCACCGACCATTTACTGATTTAGAAGATTTTTTAACATACAAAACAACACCGTGACTAAAGGAGCGGAAATGTTATAAGTGACTCGAAACTGTGAATAATGAATCTGGCGACTTAAGATGATACTTTCGGCACGCGTTGATCGGTGAATAATTAGGTACTTTAGACTATTAATTATAATTATAATAAAAAATATTTATTTGTGTTAAAGCTTAAACACCTTGTAAGTTCAAAAGTTAAGAGATATAGGGCATAAGAAATTTGTGTAGTTGAGCTTTGAACTAACCAATCAAATAACTATACTTGACGTCCACTAGACAACTTGCAAAAGTTTTGTTGCTATGATAAATTAAGGACTTACGTCATTAAATTTCATTTCTTTCAGTTCCGTACCGGGTACGAGCAATTCCTCGTAGGCCATATTGTTCGGTTGTCAGCTAGGAGATTGTTTACCGAAAAATGAGTTAAAGATCGTTGTGAAAGTCGATTTGTCCGCTCGCTATTTGTCGAAATTCCCATTATCTTATCATTTTTAAAAAGTACTTAATATGTACTCCGAGATGTACAAACAACTTGTCTTCTGCTAATGCTGCATAACGTATATTTAAAGGTCTATATCGTTTTTTGGGTGTAAAATTTATTTAATTGCAAATTGAAAAGTGTACACTAAAAAATAATTATCAATACAAGCTGTTTTAGTATGATGTTTATGACGTATATAGCAAACCTAAAGCGTTATACTGTATTTGTTAATATGTACTTTTTTTGCGAAATTTGACTTGGAAAAACTACTGTTTTTTATTTCTCGCGTTTTCATTTTATTTCCGATAACGTTATAAATAATATACTACTTCCAACAGCAAACAATCAAGCAAATTTTATAGATTAATCATCAGCTTATTTTATTAAAAAAAAGAAGATAACCTTTTGCCGGTTTATTATTAGGCTCTGTGTCAATGTTGTGTTGAATTTGAATAGTTGATGCTTATACATCATAATATTGTATTTTGCAAATGAAAAAAATCAACACATTAATATGTAATCAGTAATATTCATTAAGAAAGCTGGAAATCCACCATCCCTTGGTACTAGATAATTAATAACTAGGGTTTTTGCAACAACAGTTGCGCATGCGCGAATTGGCAGCTATTTCAAAACCAATCCGGAATTTAATTCTTTCTCTGAAGAGTGTTTCAGTTAAAAAATGGAAAGAATCAGTAACCTAAACTTTTCTCAAAGTATGTGGTGTCTGAGGTTTTGTTATTTTTATCATTTACCTACCTATCATAAATTTAAACTTCAGCAAAACTTTGTAATCAATATAAGCAACAAGAGTTTCTCTACAATTTTCAGAATACTGATACTTACGTACTTACCTCATATGCTTCCTTTTATAAAATACCATTCATATTATAATCATAATAACACAACAGAACAACATTTTTTTTCTAATCAAACTTTATTGTTGCAAGATCTCAACACTATCTTAACTCCCCTATACCCAAAAAGAATACCTCAAATGGACCCTACATAGATATACAAACTTCTAGCCAACAACCTGATAAACAGCCACTGACGCAACAACCAAAAAACTCGACAAAACCAGCATCCAGTATTTTCGAAAAAGCGTCTTCTCTTCATTTTCCTCGTGTTTCTTCCTCTCCTTCGTTTTCCTCTTGCCAGCAAAGATCTTCTCGTACTTCTCTAATTCCCTTTGGTTCTTAATCTCTTCTTGCAGTTTCCGCACTTTATCTAACTCGTCCTGCTTTTGCTGTTCTTCTTTTTGTTTTTGCGCGCATCCGTCGTCGCAGTCGATTGTGGCGACACCTCTGCGCACGCTCTCGCATGAAAATTCCTTCTTTATCCTCTTGCACTTACAAGTTACTTTCAGCTTCTTCTTACACGAGTCGGAATTGGGACATTTGCCGGAATGACAGTTTGCTTTGCACCGGTGACCGCAAGCGTACTAAAACGTTTAAAGTTGTAACATTGTTCCTTAATGGCGTGTCGACAATGGAGGTTATTCTTGAGTTCATTTTAATAAAAAAAAAAACTCATGAACGTATGTCCTAAATGCCTTAAATTTTGAGATACACGGTAGTAAACGTTTTATTACCGTAGAAGAGATTCTAGATTTCTTTGTGAAATTCGGTAGGTTGATTATCTGCATCAAGAGACATTTTTAGCAGTAGCAGAAAAAAATTGGTACTGCACTGACATTTTTTCAAGTCCTACTAATAATATTCACTCATTACAATTTTTTTTTCGAAATGGCCACCTTCACTAATATGGTGTCCTGGTAAAAAATATACCTTACTAATAATCTGTGCCCATCATTCAGAGTAGGTTAACAATAAAACTAGGTCAAATATAAACTAAATTAAGTTAAATCACAAAATAAAGAGAGTAAAGAGAATAAAAAAAAGGGATACTCAGCAAATAGGTACTAATAAACAAAAAATAATGACCGCTAATGTCTAAATAAGTCTGCTTGAACCTATGGAGAACCTGACGCAGGAGCAAAAAAGTCAAAGTGGCGGTTGCTCAGGTTTTATTAACATTTTCTAGAATTGAAACTTTGCCGTGTAGAATATTATTACAGACGGTTAAAAGATCTTGTCTCTTACAGCGCACTGTGATGGGAAGAAATGACTAGCCTATCCAAAGAATGAAACTGTGCGTGGTAGGTTAAAATATTTTTACAAAATACCACCTACCTGTCGACGGCATATAGGAAATGCGTTTATATTATATTAGCGCAAGAATTACCCCGTTCAACACTGACATAAACTAAGCGTGGTTACATTTTTAGGACACTGATTGCCGCAACTCTGCAACTCCTCCCTTTTAACCAAATCCAGCCAATCGCTGCACTTGATATAAGGCTGGTTTAGGCCGCAGTGGCATTTGATCCTGAGCATTTGCTTGCAAGGAGGGCACTCGCCCGGATGACACGGGTTAAGGCAGCTATGCTGACATCCGTCAGGTCTAGCTTTCATACAAGGATTTTCGCACTTTTCACAATTGGTTCCTGCCTAAATGGTTATCACCTCAAATATCTCTAAAAAGTTATTAAAATACAAAAGAGATACCTTAACTTTGTTGTCTTCAACACTGTCGACAACGTGACAAGGTACCGAGCAGAAGTGGTTACTGCACGCTAACATTCTGCCACAGGGACGACCGCAACAAGAGGGTTTCGCCAAATGGCATGGCCAGCTGGATGTTTCATGTTCTCCTATAATAACACGTAAAGTATAACGTGTGGTCCAGCAAAATACTAGTATTGTCAAAAGTTGTTGCACATTCATTAGCCATTTTAGTTGCAGTTAGACTAGTTCCGAGTCAAACGTCCACAGGATAGGTCACCAAATAAAAATATTGCACAATAGTAAAAAAACCCTTATTGTTTAGCATGAAAAGTTAACAAATACCTAAGTATTTTTTTCCTTTTAAAATAAAAACGTTGGTATTTTTTTTTATTTAATCTAAACATGTTTATAACCAACAACTATATTTGAAAAAATAATTCAGATTTTAATATATTAGGCATTTGCAAGCTTCATGTTTGTGGCAAACTTTAAAATAAAAAAAACGCCTCTTAGCAAGTTAACACGTCAGTAATAATAATATAAAATGTAACTCAAAGAGCAAGAGCAAAAAGTTTATTTGTAATGTTTAATACAAAGAGCAATTTTTTCATGTATTGCACTCTTAAGTGACTACACTGTGGTGCCTCGTTTCTTGTATAGGAGTAAGCCTATCTCTCGTTTTAAACCTCTCTATGTTTACCTCCTCACCCTCCTATAACTAAACTTTGGTAAAGAGAAAAATGATCAGAGATCCTAATCCAGAACTGACTAAAAACCAAAAAATATTTGGTATGTTGGCGTAAAAGTCTATTAACCCTTAGTATATTATTAATTTCATTACTGCTCATACTCATTAGTGCTCACAATCTATATATGATCGATCATCAGATGTCAATACACACGGGAGAGAATAGACGAAAATTCAAAAAACACTGTTCATTTAAGTCCAAGGGTTATTTTGTACCATAGGTTGAACTGCTCAGGCAATTTAATTTTGTCTTCAGCAACTTAATGTTCATGTACCCTCTTTTAACACACAGAAGAATATGCGCTTTCGCCAGCTAACAAGCTCCACCAATGTCCCAACTAGGGCGCCAGACTAGCGTGGATTTAGTTAACACCAGCTTGGCTTTGTTTAAAGACTTTCTGAATACTTGAAAGATCAGTGTTATATGTTGCTTTATCCTAACTTACAGTCATGTTTATATTATGTAGTTTTTTTATTATATTTTTTTTACTGTTTTAACATATTTAAATGTTTGCACTGTTTTCTAATTAAGCAGAATCTGGGAATAAAGCGTTATTATTATTTTCATTGTAAATAGATTAATTTTAATGGCTTTTGTCTCACCTAGGGAGAAGTTATAAGAGGATATGTCTACAACGTCGTATGTAAAAATTTCTGTCCCTACTTTCCAGATCTAGTTCCTAGTTCCTAATTGCTAGTTCCAGATCTGGATCTAAGTGGAGCGCCGGTGGAGTTTGGTCGTTTCGACATTTGCAAATCATACACAAACCAGAGAGATTTCACTAAATTTGTCTATAATCCGAGACCCATTTTTCAGTCCCTCATAGTCTCACCTAAACATGTCACCATAACCGGAACAATACAGTCCGGACACTGCAGTTCTCGCTTTTCCAATTGTGGTTTACTTTGTTCCCAAGGCATCGAAGCTCTCTCAGTTTCCAACTTGACTAGCACTGCAGAATGACACTGTGCTAAACAGAGATGCTCGCAGGTACTCCTTCGTTTATTACATACTTGCTTACAAGCGGGACAATCGCCGAAATGACACCTGTGGCTTTCCCGAGTTTCGTGGTGACAATCCGGTGGAATTCTGTAATCCACAATTGTCAACATGCTTCTGTACCCTAATTTCTGTACTTACAGGCACAATTTCGAACATCTTGGAGGTTTGGTTTTGTGTTTTTTGCCACAAGGCACCGTGATTTTCGTAGCACCACATCTGCAAGTCACTATGTTGGTTTGCTGACACGGATAGCATAGGCCCCGGTGACAAACCGAGGCGCACTTGTGATTCCCACACTGCAAAGTGTGCCCGCAAACTTTTTCGCATGGCGGGCAATTACCGTCACAGCACTAAAAGCAAAATAATAGCAAACAATTAGGGTCCATTTACATGGCCTTACTTTTCTATTGCACGGATGTTTATTACAATCCCTTATCCTCTTGCACTTTGTATCACACAAGTACTGCTTGCTGCACTGTATCTCTTTGGAGTACTGACCGCATCTGCAAGCTTTTATAACCGTCTCCAAACACTAAAATTCGCAAGGTTAGAATTTTACTTGTTCCGCGCTGTGCTACAACTAACCAATCCACATTTTTCTTTGTGACACCTTTGGTTACAAAAATGAATGCCGCATTCCAACAATTTACCACACGTGTCTTTGCAAGTGGGTGTTTCGTCAGTGCACGGCAATATATATTTTTCTTTTCCACAGGGGCAGGTTCTAGGTTTGCTCAGAGCACAAGATTCGCACACCCCCCCATGGCAAACTTCTTGGCACCTGTGATTACCACAGTCCAATAGTTTACCACAGATCTGGAACATCATTTGTATTGTTACTCATTTTAATTTAAAATTATTTACTTTCTCATATTACTACTGGATTAATTGAATACAGAGACTCACATCTCAAGCGGCTGCGACATTTTAGGGTTTCAAGATTTTTGTATGTAATTAATTATTCAGTACAAATATTTACTAGTTAATTTACAAAAGTCTACAAGAACCTAGGTAACCTAAAATGATTTTTAGATAAAGTAAAACTATATAGGTATATTATATTGTAAACGTAAATTCCTCTACTCCCTCCCATGTCTGTACAGCCCTGTGGACTTATGCATATAAATATTAGAAGAATTTATATTTACAATATAATCTACCTACATAGTTTTACTTTATCTAAAAGATCATTTTAGGTTACCTATGTTCTTGCAGATTTTTGTAAATAAATTAGTCAATACATAGTAATCTAATGGATAAATAATATTCTACAGTTCCCTTAAAGGGGTCATTTGTTTGAGAATTATATTTTTTAATTGTAATTATGTTAAAGTAATTTTTTTCAACTAGCGACTTAGTCTGGGCACTTAGTGTGTTGAATGTTTTTGATGCTGGAACAACCAAAAAGTAATACAAATTGGTTAATACTCATTGGCAATTGAATGTAAATGCAGCTTAACGATAGAAAACAATATATGTAATATGTATATGTAATTCAAAACGGCAACTTAAAAATAAATTCACTAACCTTGTCACATTGCCAGACAGGTGATGCGCAATCTCTTAGCTTCTGCTGTGACTGACACATGCATTTCTGAATGCTTTTTTTCGAACAAGGTTTACACTCGCCTGGGTGACATAGCTCAGGGCAGTTGTGTTTGCCGCATGACAACGTTTTATCGCATCGATTACCACAGGACCAACCTTTGTGACTACAACGTTGGGTCACTGGTGGTTGGGAGCCACAAAAGCAAGAGACACTGACAGTTACTGGGCATGGGGGACAGGGCCCTAAAATAAAACTCTTAAAGGGGTTCAAATAAATGTAATAATCCTGCCAAAATGTAGGATATTCTGTTTTCAAAAAATAATATCGACCTATCCTCATTTAATATATGATGAAGCCAGGAATCTGATGTTGTACGTCGATAGAAGTCTTTTGGAAAGTTTATTACCGTATACACCTGCTTATATTAATATTGTATATGCTCCTTTTCTTCCAAATTTTCATGCCTATAGAGTACTTGTGTTCGATATATAAAGGATATATCAAGGAGAGAACAAGTAAGTCAAGTAAGTCATCAGAAATTTTGGGACCTAACATAGCTCAGAGAAGTTATGTTCAGATGCAATGTCAGGTGCATTAACTTAAAAATCAAAAGAACTCAAGTACTTAGCAGAACTAATATGTCAAAAAAGTACTGCATGCATCATTTTAATTATACCATATGGATACCACCGCACCGCACCGAAGAGTTTTTAAACATTGTTTTCTATATACTTCTCCCCTAATTTATAACTAAGTCCCTCATTCCTATAACTACTAAGGTATATATTTATTTTAAAATCGCCTAAATTTTTTTGTGTGGGGTATAGCATTGACACATTTAGTGATATGTGAAATTTATGATATTTTTTTGTACCACTTTTTTAAAGTTGTGTTACTGAGGGTAGTATTAAAATATGCTTAGTGGTACTCTCCACCCTTGTCTGTAACATTTTGTTGTAATAGTTTTATTTGTAATGCAATAAAAATTGTTTTAATTTTTATTTTAAAAATGTTTGTCTTACCTGGATGACAAAGCAACAGACATTTATGTCCACAAGTGGGGACCAAACCTTTCTTGCAAATTGCCCCGCATGAATGAGGAATTAAAAATGGATCATACTTTGGTTTCTGGATTTTTCCGCAAAAGCATAAATATTGTGATGGAATATTCTCTGGTTCATATTCAAATCGACATTTCGGACAACACCAAGACAGAGGCTTTCTGTGGGAAAACGATTGCTCTTCTAATGATTGCTTTTGTTGAGTTATGGTATCTTTTGACCATCTCTGGATGCATAACAAGTGAAATGAGCCATAACAATTGGAACAACTCCATATCTTAAATTGCAGATGAATATATTAGATTAACATATCTAAGGATTTTGGTAAATATTACTTCATCATCTCGTTTAATTCTAGAGATGCAAATCAAACAAGTGTGTGTTCCTGATAAAAATGCCTCTTCAATAAATGTTTCAGTTTTGGTTACTTGATCATTGCTTCCTCTTCCTTGCCTATAATTTTTTAAAATCACATCTAAAACATTTAAGTAGCTATGGAAATTATATACTTATATCACACAAGATTACCAATAACATCTGTGGGGTCTACATATTCCTCTTCTGAAGAAGAGTCATAGTCCTTTAAATGCTTTTGCACAGAATCTTGAAATTTCTGATGTGCTTCCTTAAATTTTCTTTCTGAAGCTTTTAATAATGGTTTGGGACCTGGATCAAACACATTTTTTGGAATTTTTCTGTTGCTTTGTGAGGAGTTATTTTTAATCCATGGATTAGACTTTGATCTGGAGTTCATTTCCATTCGTTAATTTGCGCTCACCTAAAATTGCAGAAATATGTATCAAAATTACTTCAACTAATAGAATGCAAAAAACAAACTAATCACATTTACCAAAAAGTTGTGATAAATTCAAATTAAGATGTTGATCAAATTTGTTACCCAATTCAAAAATCGGATGACGCAAAACGTCTGACAGTGACAGTCAGTCACAAAATTTAGGGGATGTTTTCCACAGTCAGGTGATAGTTATCCGACGACACCATAAAATAGCACATAAAATACACGACACCAAATAAGAGACTATCTATTGTGTGGTCACGGTCTAAAATCAGATTTGGTTATTTGATAATTTGTAGAAAAACGGAGAATTCCAAAGTGTCCAAAACTCAAGCACTCAAAAAGCAAAAAATGTCTAGTTAGAGGTGTCAATCGGTAAGATCAAAAGTTATTATCTATGGGTTACCAGGGAGACATTTCTGGAATCTCGAACAGGGCATGTCCTCTGCGAGATTCAAGAAATCGCTCCTTGGTTACCCATAGTAAAGTTGTGTCAATCGCGATTGATTCGGTCACTTTGATTCATAATTATTCGATAGTACTGAGTTGCGACATCGATGGTAGATTTGCTTATGTGTTGAATTGAAATGTCTATTTCCATATAGATATTTCATTTAAACAAATTGATGTATTACTGGTACAACCCAATACGTAGCACCTAACCCATAGTAAGTAATCCTTTTATCAAATGCCTACAAATTACAACCGGAACATTGAAAATTTTAAGTAAACATTTTTTATTAGAATGTGAAAGTTTTTTGTTGCTCATAGATGGCGACACGCACTACTTACATCTTGCTCGATCCTGTATCGTTGTGTAGACCTTAACGTAGAAATCAAAATATCTGATCCTTCTGATTGGTCAGATGGGAAATGATGACTGGGTTACATCAGGAAGTATTTCTGAAGTCTGCTCCGTTTGTTACGAGTTTGCAGACAAAATCGTTCTGATCCCATTTCACTTATGAAGGTTCACTAGCAATTTATAATCTTTTTTTAACCGATGACAATGTCGGTAACAGATCCTTGTTAAGAATGCTACATTTTTACAGCAGTTGTCTATGTTACGTTGGTCTTGTTGTATTGACGAGGAAGATTTCCCATTATAATTTTGCAGTTTACAGACACGTCGGGTTGTTTGTAAATGTCAATCTCAGGTTTTTGTTTAGTGTATGAGAGGGTTTTGCTTGCGTTGCACCGCTCGGGTTTCTGTGTATATTACAGAGGCGCACTACCAACAGCTACCTGTGAAACGCATCATTGAATTGAATTGAGAGGCGCACTTCCTTTTTAATTGATTTTTTTTATTTCTTTATTTTTTAAACCGAACCGGCCGGATGACAGTTCCGAATATTCCAAGTATTATGAACAAAAAAAAATCACAAAACTGACGAAACAAAGTAATCGAATACGAAATAACGTTCAATTTCGATGCTGCGGAAAGTCGCCAGGTAATGGCCGAGTGCTCCTAGTTGTTGTTCAATAGGTTCAGATATTAGAAGATTATAATTGGATTATGATCTGTGGTTTGTCGGTTTCCGTTAAATTTTTGAGCGGATTTGCTTTGGTGTCATCGTTTTTAATTATTTTAAAATGGCCCGGACGAGAAGAGTGAAAGCTCCCAAACCTAAAAACGTAATTAGTGAACAAATGCAACTGGTGAAACAGCTGAATGAACAAACCAATCGAGAGGGTAAAATGAGCAGCATCATTTCAAGCTTTTTGCTCGATAAACAAAATTTCAACCCTTTACAGAAAAAGCGGTGGTGGCGGAACTTGAATCAATGAAACAACAAGAATTAGAGGACTGGCGCATGTTGCAGTTGATGTACCGGGCCAAGTTCCCTTCCTCTGTTTTAAAAAGGACAATCCGTGAAATAGTAACTGCCCCTTTTGCTTTTAATAATTGTCTCTGTTTACGAGTTTTGTTTTTAGAAAAGCGGTGCTGTAGGTGACAGCGTTTCATCAATCATGTTTTCCACCATGAACTCTACCCGCTCGCAGAGACAAAGCAGAAGTCAATCCGAGGCTAGGAAAAGACAAACTTACAAAGTTAACGAAGATGAAGGTAGGTTCAATAATCGACTGTCCTTTTAAGTAACGTTATTTCTCGCATCTTAACAAGTCTTCATTATGCATGCCGCGGTCTAATCTCGCAACACATCATCTGGGTTCTTTGGAATCATCACAGGTTATTTGACTGCTGAAAGTAGTGGTGGCACTTCAGGTGAACACACGCGGGGCAACAAAAAAGCCACCAAAACGCTCAGAATATCGCGTTCATTATCACGGACCGCCAAGGCCAACAGCTACAAAACTCCTGTTCATACTCAAGCGCCATTCAATTGCCTGGGCACCATCACCCCTAAGGTCAAACAGAATACCCCTCAGGTGATTCTGCGCCGCCCTAAGCAAGGCGAGATGGCACTGTCTTATCAGGGCAGTCCTTTGCTAACGGGGCCCGTCGTTCAAGAAAACGCGGCCAATGTAAATATTCCATTGTCGGACGGCAACATGTTGTCGTTGATGCCTCAGCGTGGTCTGCGGACGTCCCAACTTCCAGAGGTCGACGTCGACGTGAAACGGCAATTGGAAATTCTGCGGGACAACCTGATCAAAGTCTGCAAGGACCTTTAAAAATAGCATTAGATCATTTTATACTTATGCAAATAAAAACCATTTATTTTGATTACTTTGTATTTTTTCCTTTATATAAAAACGTGTTTTATGAACCAGATATTTAAGTAATTATATAAAATTAATGAGCTGTGGTAGCATAACTCTTACCATGTAATTTTGAAAGAGGAGCCAGAGCATTTGTCGACAATAAGCTTCTAAGCAATCAGGGTTAGCAGCGTTTTTTTGAACCTGGTACTTGAAGTACAGAGCGTAATTTTTCATTTGTAAGTTAAAATAGTAATTGAACGCCCTTTTCTTGAATATTAATATTCATATTCAATTACAAGACCCAATCAGCAATAAATAGGTTTCCGGTTTACGCTTGATTTTTGTAGTATACAGAGTGAAATCTGAGCCGACGAGGATGTACCGGGTGGCTAAGTAAGGACACTATTTCGAAAAATAATTGTTGCAACGACTTGGGGTGAATAAACTTAAACCAAAACGGTCATAAGAAAATCCTGGAAATTGTTTTTACATTTCCAGAACGGTTGTTAGGGAGCACAATCTTATTCTTGAATTTTGGGATAAATTCGATTATTTTTCGCTAAATGGTTTTTATTCTCTTTTAAGGAAAAGTGGTGAAGAGTGTTTGAATATTTTCGGAAATAAATGTCACGAACTTGAAAATCACTGAAGGCATTTTGTCAAACTTGAAGTTGTTGAAAAGGGCTCGTTTTAGACTATCCACGTTGCCCTGAACAGATAGTCTTTGATTGCTTGTATCGCCGCAAGAGGGAGTAAATATAAATAAAATTTATTTTCTCAAAAAAATTAAATGCAGCGATGTCATTTTTATTTCGACAAAAGATAGTGAAATAAGAGTCTAACAGGCTAGTGAAACCCGCATTTTGATATCTTTTTCCTATGTAATTTACTGTTAAATTATAAAAACTATATTAACATTTACTCATCTGTCAACACGACATTCGAAATTTATTAATTTAATTGTAGTTTGAAAAACAAAATTGCAAAAATTATAAAGGTGATGTTTAAGTGTCAATCATATTAATATTGCAGCTATTTATATTGAATTTCGGGTGGCCTTAATTGTAATGCTTTTTCCACCTGCAGAAGTGCTTTGATGTATTTCCTGTTTATTTTCAAAACATTGAAAACGCAACTGTATCTGTAGAACCTATGAACATCCTGCATTACAACACAAGAGTTTTAGTGTTTTATCTGTGTTATTGTTTTTCATTATTCTAATATATTGTATTGCAATATTCAATCATATGGGAATGAGTATTAATAATTATTGACATTTTAAATATAATGCAGTAACTATAATAATTATAGTAGTAAGTATATAGTAGTAAGTGATGCATTGCCGAACGGAACATAGGAAATCCCATGTAAATTTTTGAGCGGCCCAATATTGACTCCCCTGTACATTTTGTTTGTAATATAACTTTTTGAAGGGGCCAATCTTCAGTTATTGAATTAAATATGAAATACAGTTTTTATAGTTTAGGTAATAATTCAAACACGAGTAAAATACATTTTGATAATGACAAACAGAAAAATTCGTGACAATAACAATATCTTTATTTGTGATTGTTATACGTCGTTAAAGGCGCTTTAATTAAAATTAAATATGTCTTATTCAATTGAAGAAAAAGTAACTATAATTAAGTATTATTGTGCAGTGCCTGAAATTATTTCAGTTTATTTTCCTGCTAAACAATATCTTCTATTTTAACAATTAAACGTATTATTTCCCAATTCAAGTTCAAAGGCACCGTAAAAAATAACTGCAAACGTTCAGATGAAAATGTCGATAATAGAACAGGAGAAAGGGACAATAGAGATTTGAACATTTTACTGCACGTGGAGGAAAACAAAATGATTAGTACGAAGATTCTTGCGCACATTAAAAAAAAACACAAATATTTTTCTCATAAATACGGTCGAACTTCGATAAGTCGAACTGCGATTTGACACATGAAAATTTCGAGTTATCAAGATTTCGAGTTACCAATAAAAACTACAAATGCATGTACTTTTTTGTTAATGAACATTTATTCATTCATTTTTAAAAATGGGTTATAAGTTACATAAATACCCTAATATCTATAATTTTTGAACAAAAAACGAAAATTATGTGTTAGTAGGACATATGTATGTATCTATTTACATAATATATGTACATACAAATGTATTGTATATGTACCCAGTATATATAAACAGAGTATGTATGCACATATACATACATATGTATGTACATATTAAAGTTTACTCTTTCACTCTTTCTTATTTTGGTTTTCAACAAAAGCTTCAATTTTATTTAAACAATCATAGAGGGAATCGGTTGTGTATTCACTGGTTTTTAAATAGGAACGCAAGACAATCAACGAATTTTCAACCAATTCATTTGAAGGTTGTTGCTGAGAATCATCTTCCAATTCCTCCTCTATCGTGTCACTTTCGCAGACATCTTCGATGTTTAACTGTACCGGTTCAGATCTGCAGGATTCGATAATATCTTCATCAGTAGGAAACTCTGAAGTAACAATATCCTCATCCACATGTATAAAATCGTTGATGGTGCTACCTTTTGCTATGCCTCTAATGTTTGTCCAAGCTTTAAACTCGTTTTCTATTTGGATTTCGTCTTCACTCTTTTCTTTCAGGCGTACACCTAGGAAAATCAAGGGAATCTCATCTTCTTCTTTCCATTCAGAATACTGACCAAAACCGGCTTTTTTAAAACAATTGGAAATTGTTTCAGGCTTAACGTCGATATTCCATGCGGTAGTTACGTCGTCAACACAATCCATTAGTGTAATGTTATTGTTTCTGTTTTCGTCGAAACAAACAAACTGTAACTTTAAAAAAATACCGAACGTGTTGCATACTATACTTTTTCTACGACCCTTAGTTTTTGGGTTCATTTTCGCCAAACAACACGAATATATTCACTGACATGGGCGTCAGAATTGACAAACGTCAAATTGAAGGCGTGGGAAATATCTCCGAAATCATCTGATTGCTCCCAAACTTGTGCGGTAAAACCCCGGAAATGTTCGAAGTGGCTCGGATCCGTGGGAAATTAAACTGACGTGGTAAAGTGACGCTTCTCGCACGCATTTACAGTAACAGCACGCGGGCTAGGAACTTCCGTTTAAGTTCGGATCCGCGAAATTGTTATCAGTAACAGCACTTGTGCTAGAAAGAAAAATGCACAACAGCACGCCTTCTAGAAACTCCCTTCTTTCTTTGATTAAGTGTGTTTTGTGGTGTTTGTTTTTGAGTTTTATATACATACTGTTGCGTAAAAATATAAATATGGATGGGGAAAAACTTCTTAAGACGTTTAAGACTAAAATAATTAGTGATAAGATTCTAAGGCTTCAATTAAAAGACAAAGCCGATGTTGATAAATTTGTTTCCTAACCTTAAAATAACGGATCAGTTGCTGGATAAAGTCTTTTGGTTCTTGGTTGTCTGGTATATTCAGGGTTGCCAATGCCCCAAGGGGAATCGACCCTTAAATTTTCGATGATACTGGGTGTCTCAAGAAAGTATTATAACCAAAACTATTTTTTTTTAATGAGATCCTATATAACATTGCATTTTGATTTGAAATTTGGTACAGAGGTAGTATTTAGGAAGGGGCAGCGACCCTTGAATTTTTGATTATACAGGATGTCTCAAAAAAGTGCCATTACCTAAAGTTCTATTTTTTTATTGGGACATACCCCGTATCATTGCATTTCAATTTAAAATTTGGTAAGTACATATGCAGTATTTAGAAACGGGAAGCGATCCTTAAATTTTGAAATATACAGGGCGTGTTATAAATTCCTCTTTATTCTTTACTAAATTTCTCTAACATATTATGTATAATATCCTATACCTAACATATCTTCAACTGTTTTCGAATTACAAACAATTGAAAATCGACATTTTCTGAAGTTTATTCAATTTATTGTAATAAAACGGTTAAAGAGAGAGGAAAACAAATTGGTACCATCATTAATTAGCAAAAGAATAAGAAAGAATAGGAAAGTAAAATAAATACCTTCTCTTTTGGTGCATACACTACACGTAATCCCTCGTGTTATCCTATTTAAAATATAAAATAGGCTTTATTTTATTTAAATTTTAGCATTAATACTTTAACCTTAAGTACAAAACTTCAGTTGTTATTACCATTACAGCGTACTGTCAGTGAGCAGGAGATGGAGATGGATCCAGTTACTGTAGAGAATTCGTATAACAAAAGCAAAATGGAAAGCAATGAAGGTTCCAACAACATCGATATAAATTCAGAATCTATTAAAAATATGCCCTCCCCACAGGAAATTACAGTCCCTAAAAATGAATGGCAAAGTTTTTGCACTGACATTTTACTTTTTATCCAGCTGTAAAGCAATGTCTGGTTAATAAAAACAAGTGTAATAATAGTGACAATAATTTGAGTAGCGGTTTATACCACTGTTTTAAATATAGTGGTGTTCGTAGCGTAAGGAGACAAACTAATTTGCGTCATGGCAAAAAAATACCCGCGCAGCCAACTAACATTTCAAGAAGAAAGTCATTGTCGTGTGGAAGAAGAGCTCAAACAGCATGGAGAAGTACTAAAAGGATTTCAAATAGCACAACAAAAAATCCGCATTCGCTTGCCAAATGTGTTAGAGAAAATAAGGGTCTTGGATGAAATAAATTTAAAAACTAATTAACACCTTTTTTTTTATATGATAGACATAGGTCGCAATAATGTTTAAAATATACTTCTTTTTTTACATTAAGTAACAAAAATGTAATTCTTCTCCCTTAAAAAATTCAGTTCAGTTACATTTTTGTAAGTATTTTTATGCTACCTTGATAAGAATGTATTCTTTCTACCGTTCTGTTTTTTTTGAAATATAACACTGCTTCTATGTGTACTGGTATGTGTTTTAGTTTTGTTGATCTATACTTATCCATAGAAAAAGTGCTGTTTTGATTATCGCTCGTGCATGAGTGCTATTACTATAGCCAACATTT